CCATTCCAGTTTCGACTGTTGCATCAGAATCTGCTTTCAGTGCAGGTGGCCGCCATTTGGATCAATTCCGAAGTTCTCTAACACCAAAGGTGATGTGTTATATTTTTTGTTATATATTTTTTGTTATATATCACAAAACATGGATCAATAAGTTATTCACATAATTTATTCTATTTTTATTGTTTTGTTATAAAAGATGGTTCAAGCTCTTATATGTGGGCAAGATTGGATTCGTGCACAACTTCGCAAACCAAAACTTGATATGGAAGAGAATTTAGAAGAATTAGAAAAAATGGAGAAAGGTATGGAGAGTACTACTTTAGTTTTTTTATTTTATTGTTTAATTGTGAATGATGGAATAAATGTAATATGTAACTTTCACATCACCAGATTTGAAGAATGCAAACATTGATGATGATTTGATCTTTGTCACGGAATGAAGAAAGTGATTACAAGTAATTTTGTAGACTCTTATTTCCATTCCAATGTTTTTAGTACTATTATATTTTCTTCTTTTAACAATCCCTTGCATTTTGTATTCCATTGCAGTTTACATGGCTAATGGGTCCTACGGCAATTGAGAAAAAAGCTTGTTACAAAAGGGATGAAATGTATTTTTTGCTCTCTACTTTATTATCCAAGTGTAATTTTTATCTCATGAAAGATTTTTCAGTTTCATACATTTCCATCCCTACAATCCCATGAGAGCATGAAGATTTTAGTTGAATTGTTTTTTTAAATCAATTGCTATCCTACTCCCCAATTCCCCGTGACTTTTTGTTTTGTACAAATGGTGAATGGATGTTGCTACTTACTATTTCTTGTATGGAATTATATTTTGTAGTGTTTTGGTTGTATTAGATTTAAAAAATTCAACTGAAAAAAAAATTTCGGTCTACTCGGTCTATTTTGGTTCGGTCTAAATTTTTTCGGTCCGGACCGGTCCAAGACCGACTGTGAATCGGGTCGGTCTTCGGTCCTATATTTTTCCAATTTCGGTCTTCGGTTCGGTCCGGTCCGGTCCGGTCCTGGACCGATGAACACCCCTAGATGGACGCAGCGCACCGAGTCCAGATCCGAATTTTGGGCACGTGAAATTCTAAAATTACCCCTGGTTCTATATCTTTTACTCCCTCCGTCCTACAAAACATTACCCATTTTCAATAGTATTTGCTCAAATAGTTACACGTTTTGACTACAAATTGTGAGAAAATTATATTGAATTATAATATAAATTTAATATAATTAGATTCATATTAGGATCTAGTTTTGATAAATCAAATTTTTATAACATTTTTTTATTTAGATTATATTTAATTTTTGGTCGAAGCGTGTAACTGTTGGCCAAAAATACATCAAAATGGGTAATGTTTTGTGGGACGGAGGGAGTAATTTTTATATTCCAAACCCTTATTTCCCCCATTTACATTTTCATTCTTAGTCTAGGATTTATGTTCATGTTCTTCATCTTGCCATTTTTAGTTTGGGAGTTCCACTTTTATATTTAAACTCTTGCATTTATTTTCGAGCTTCTATTTAGATCTTTATTTCTTCATTTACTTCATGCTTAGTTTATCTACTACTCTCCTATTATTTAGATTAAGCCTGCTAGGCTAGATTTTCTAGCCTAGGTTAGGTAATGGACAGTTGACAAGTGTTTATTGTTGATGGATTAGTGTGAAGCATGAGATTTTAGCTTAAGAATGTTTGTGAAGGTTTTTTTATTCATTGTTTGGATGTCGTTGTTGACCACAATGACATTCTTGTACTCTGGAGTGAGTTCTAAATCACCGAGGAATTGAAATTTAGACCCCTAGCCGTGTGTCTCTACTCTCAAATCCTACCACTAATGTGGAGGATACTTGAGGAGCTTGTTTGATGTATTTGTAGTTGTCTTGAGTCGAGTGGCACATAAATGAGTTCTTATCAAGAGAATTCTTTCTCGACTCTCACACAAGTGAGAATCAAGGTGATTTACTCGCATTCTAGTTGATTTCTCTTGTCTATCTAGTTCATTGGCAACTAATCTAGGTTTGCTTTCCTATTATTCATTGTCTTAACTTTTTAGCATCAATCATCGCTTCATACTAATTCATTCCATTTGCATATCACAATCTTCTCCTTTCAATTGGCCTTGATTCACATCATACGATTCGATATTCCTGTTTAGTTACACTTTGTGCTCAACTCCTTACCAATAATGCTATTCCTGTGGATTCGACATCTGCACTCTAGCACTCTACCACTACACTAGGGGCTGTTTGGCAACTTCTGAATAGGTAAGTGCTGAACTAGTAACAGGTCTGAACCATTAAGTGCTGAACCAGTAAGAGGTCTGAACCATTAAGAGCTAGTATATTGCTTAACTATTAAGAGGCAAATGTCTGATCAATTCAGATAAGAGGTCTTAATCATTCAGACTCTGTATAATACTTAACCATTCAGAGGCAAATCTCTTAACCATTCAGACATCTGAACCATTAAGAGGCTGAAACAAACAATCTGAACCATTAAATGTTGAACCATTCAGACATCTGAACCATTAAGAGGTTGAAACAAACAGCCCCTTACTCATTACTTTTTCCACATTGTCATCTCATATTCCATTCCAATTTACCTTTCATCCTTTTTGATTAGGAGTTTTCGCCATCAAATGACGCACCAGAAATCTTTTGCTATGAGGGAGTATTTTGAAAGAATTAAGCTAGGGGTACACCAACATGGGGTACCCCAAGTGTACACCAAAGCCAACACAGACACACACAGACACTTTTGTGTCTGTGTTGCACAGACATTTTGTATCTGTGTGTGTCTGTGTTGGCTTGGTGTACACTTGAGGTACCCCATGTTGGTGTACCCCTAGCATTGCCCATTTTGAAAACATGAATCATCAGCCTCATTTTAAAAATTAAGATAGTACATTAATATTTTTATTAGAACTATTAACATTGTTGATATTAATATCCGTATTATTTTTATTATTTGATAATATTTGTATTATTTAATAATATTTGTACTATTATTATTATTATTATTATTGGTTCGGACTATATGAGCCGCAAGCTTAAACATAAAACCTGAGCCGGGCTCTCAAGTTTGTGGGCTCCCGTTAATTACGAATCGGGTTGAGCCATATCCCAAAAATTCAAGCTCAAACCCGCTATTTTGTACAATGTAGTACTAAAATATTTGTATTCTTCTAATGTACTCCGTAGTACTTACCACTTTATATTCATTAAATAGTACTTGAATAACGTCTCACAATGTCTAGTGGCGGCATTTCCCATTATGGCTTTGTTTGGTAAAAAAGTTTTCAATTAACGTTAGCGTTTTGGATAAAATTTTAATGATGCAGATTAATTCTGAAAATGCTAACTCTAAAGGCTACCGTGGGATAGCTTTTTCAAACCGCTAACGCTAATCTCTAACACCGATGCCAAACGGGACCTATATCAACACAAGAAGAGGGTAAAGAATAAAATCAAATCAAATAAAATAGGGAGTAAAACAATAGGCGTCGTCTAGGAAAGCCATCCCATACAAAAGGCATATATTAGTAGTTAAGAAGAACAATACAGACCAAAAAGGGACAAAAACAATACGTTTCTGATACTTCTTTCATTCTCATCATCAGCACAGAAACATGGTTTGTATTTTGTAGTATAGTGATCCATTACATATATATATATATATATATATATATATATATATATATATATATATATATATATATATAGGCTATTATATTGATATTATTATATATTTATATAAATATTTGTAGAATGATACATATCCACAGCTTTCCTCGCCGGCCCGGCCATATTCAACTTTTGCATGAGGGAAGCATATCATAATATAGCCAAAGAGAAAAATTAAAAATAAAAAGAAACTTTAAATGATCATATCGCGTGGCAGCTGGCAGCAAGGAGCCTTCGGGCTTTGTTTGGTTCATCCAAATCCATATGATTCCTTCCCACTTGATTTCACATAAGCTTCCGGGCTGCACCCCACGTTTTTTTTTTCCAAAGTCAATTCCAACCTCATATCTTTCTACTTTTCAACACTTTTTTATGCATTATGTCCCGTCAAAATAGACATTAGAGGATTATGAAAATTCTTATTATTATTATAACTATTGTTGTCGATAATAATTCCAACATCATCTTTAATGATAGTAAGAAAAAATGACATTTTTTTTAATAGTCACGAACAAGTTGTATAGAGTACCAACATCTTTAAGCAATTTTAATAGGAAATACTTGGGGAATCCTAAGCATTTGACACGGCTAACACAAACAGACACATACAATAACTCAATGTTTGTGTGCGCAAGATATTGGGTGTCTGTCTTAGCCTTGGTGTGCATTATTTGACACCAAATGTACACCAAGAGTAACACCAAATACTTGGAGGCCCTAAGCATTTGACACCAAATGTACACCAAGGCTAAGGCTGCCAGACACACAATGTTTGTGTGCAAGACATTGATTGTTTGTGTGTGTCTGTCTTAACTTTGGTGTGCATTTGGTGTAAAGTTCTTGCCTTGCCCCCCCCCTCCCCATCAGGCTATCACTACTCATTTTAATATTGACATTGATATACACGGAGTGTGTGTGTGTATATACCGAGTTATAAATTAATATTAATCGAACTGAATGAAATTTAACCAAAGTTAATTGCAATTGAATTTATGAGTACTAGACTGAACTTATCTAAAGTAAACTAAACTGAATGATAGAACCCCTAAGAGAAAAAGAAATTTCATAAACCAATCCTTTACTCAACCTCTGAAAATGTTTATGGATACTACCCCAAGTTCATTTAAATTCATTTAAATGAGGAAATATAAAAGATCTATTCCTAAAGATATTAGAATCCACATCCGAATATCTAAGTTGCACAGGGTTGGGAACAGGAAACATCAACTTTTTTCAAAATTTATTGAGGATTTGGGTGTCAGGACGGCACACGGCACGTAATATCCAAATGAGGATGTTTCATAGACAATAAATGACACTTACATTTGAAGAACCTGTGCAACATAGCCGAATATAGAGACCAATGGGCTATGGTTCATTCTCAACATTGCAATCTTTTGAATGGAAAATGGAAGGAAATAGAAGGAGAAGAAGGGAAATGGAAATTTTCCTCTGTTCAATATACTTTAAAAAACCCACCATGGTTCGTGCAAATTAGGACAGTGAACCATGTCCTTGTGTTCATTCTGATAAGTGATATTGGACAAGAAAATGCCTAGACCATTAGAGTTCATAGTGGTCTCTATAAGCACCAAATCAATTTAGATCACATAGAAAGAAAACAGAGACGCCCACGAAATACATTTTTAATTACTCCGTCCTAAAACATGCTTCCTTGTTACTATTACTATTTAAAGGATGAAACTTTAATCACTTTCTTGTCACATTTTGTTTTGCAGAATAATTTTTTAAATATATAAATTTTATTTTTTTCATCTTACACCTACAATCAAATGAATTAAATTTAAATAAAGTCAGTCAAATCTCATAAATAAAAACGGGAGAACGTTTTAGGACGGGGAGGGTAGCATTTCGGATAATTTCAATCGTGATTAACATTGAAAATACTAAAACTGTTGAGTTGTTGCCAAATTGGCCCTTCATTAATGTTTCATTTACATGATGTGATCTGAAATGGTTTAGATTCATTGGGGTTTGTTTGGAAACAACATTTCTAATTAACATTAGGGTCCGTTTGGTATACGGAATTGATGGAATTGGAATTGAATTGGAATTGAAATTCTATAGGATTCAATTCCATAGAAATGAATTCACCAATTCCAATTCATTTTTTGCACTGTCAATTTCAAATCTACATAATTTTTGTGTTACCAAACACCAGAATTGGAATTGAAGTCTTTAATTCCAATTCCATGGTTTGAATTGGACACATAGTTTTGAATAATGATAATGATACACACATAGTTTTACTTTTACAACGCGAAAGATGAAGGAAGACACTTACAGTGAGGGTGTTTCTCCGGCGAAAACGATAAATGGCAGAGAATGCTGCGGCCGAGCATGGACAAGCTGGCGACGATCCCGACGAAGTACAAAACCATGGCCAGGCAAAGCACCCACGGCATCATCACGAATCCGATGAAGAAAGTCACAGATCCACAAACCATCAAGGCGCACGAAATCCCTAGCAGGAAGGTAGCGAATCCGGCGGGACTGATTTGCTGCTGAACCGGCCGAAGCCTCTCCTCCACCGGAGAGTCGCCGGCGAATCCAATAGGCGCCGGCGGACATCGGAGAATGCTCAGAGCCAAAGCAGAGAGCTCGTACAGAGCCCTCGTGTGCTGATCCTGCTGCCTGCGCATCATCTTCCCGAATCGAGACAGCGAATTCGGCCGGCGGCGAACTGTTTGTTTATCAGGGATCAATTATTGCGGGAATCGAGGCAATTGATTGGACAACAACTTTCCTTCGTTGGATCGGATTGAAGTTTATCCTTTGGAGTAAATTTCACGATTTATTGGAGAGTTCCTGGTTAGTTGGTTGGTTCGCTGAGAGAGAGAGAGAGAGTAAAAGAGGGATCTGATCGTAGAGTCATCACTCGCTAATTGCTTTATATAAACAGAATGTGTCCATCTTTATCTGTGTCTGCTATCAAATATTCCCAAACTAATTTTAATGTCATTTTTAAAGTAGTTTTAAGTTTACAATTTTGCCTTTAAAATGATCTTGGTGTAATGTGTTTGCAATTTTGAATTAAGGGGAAGTTTTGGTGAACTCATGTTCATTCTAATTTTATAGATCTTAGTGTATTTGTAGTATAAAAGAAGTAGATTTTCAGTACAAGTATAAAAAAAAGAATATCTTTATGCAAGCTTATGAATAATATGAGAGTGTTCACATTTAATATGTAGATTTTGGGATCATGTAAGCATTACTATTGAATAAAAGACATTTTCTCCCTTCCAAAATGAATTAACCATTTTGATCAACGTGTAAAATCTTCAAACTTTTAAATAATGTTATTTATAAATTGGTACTGAAGAAAAAATAAAATTTATATATTTAAAAATACATAAAAATTTCTATAAAACAAGAGATGTCAAAAGTATTTTACTTTCTCAAATTATTAATAAAAATATACAAACAAATAAAAATTATCGAAAAGTCATAATAGTAAAGAAGTAAATTATTTTTAGACGGGGAGAGTAATAGAAATTGAAATGTGATTTGAGCGAAAAATAAATGAGATGCTATTGTCAAAAAATAAATGAGATGCTATAAAAAGTGGGGGTGAGGTATGAAAATGATTCTAAGAGCATTGGAAATGCCGCTAACGGCCCGGGACATTATCCGGGACTTAACGTCATCAGGGCGTCAAATACTGCCTCCCTTCGGCGTTAGGCGGGCGTCAAGCACCATGCGTTAAAAGTTTGAGGCAGCGGCATCAACGGCTCTCCCTTCGGGACCGTTGGGCATTGTTTATTTTTTTATTTTAATACTATAACTATCCCTTATTTTTAACACAGCAAAAACAACCTATTCTCATTTTCTCTATAATTCCTCCAAAATATACTCTATTTCTTTTAATTATTCGAAAAACAGGATCATCATTTAATTTCTTTTAATAATCACCAATTTTTTTGGTAATGTAATTTTTTTTATTTATGTTGTTATTATTCAAATTTTATTCTATTAATGTAATTTTTTTATTGAATGTAATTTTTTTTATTTAATGAATTATTGTCGTTTAAATTCAATTAAATAATAAAATCTTTTATTACTAATTTAATTTTAGAAGATGAGTATTAAAAAGTGTTAGAAGATGTGCACCAATGCCCCCTTATTCACCTAAACAATGGTCGGAAAATGATCAGAGGGGTATGGATACAAGTTTATTAACAACTTTTTTCGGGTTACAAGAGTAATACTCTCTCCGTCCCTAAATAAACTTCCCCTTTCGTTTTTTCTTTGTCCCCAAATAAATTTCTATTTTCCCTTAAAAAATCCCTTTTACTCCTTACTTTTTCATACCCTATCTATCACATCATACCTTTTTACTAATAATCTACATATCACATCTTATTTTTACAAATCACATCAAGATCATATCAAGGGTATTTTTGAAAAGTCAACACGAAAATATCTCTCCCTTAAATCTTCAAAAAGTCAAAAAAGAAAATTTATTTATGAACGGAGGGAGTATTTAACACGCTCGAGTGTAGACAAGTTTAATGAGAACTTTAGATGTATTGTCTTTTACACCAAAAAATATAAGTAACAAATACTCCGAGTACTTTAGCGTCAAGAATCTTAAATTCTCGAATAACTTATTCAATCAAAGCCATTGTAAATATATTTTTTGTTGAAAAAAGCAATACTGAACATCTATTTAAAATTATAGCGAGATAATGACTCTCCTAAATATGAGATCACATGTTAGATTTCAAGTGAAAATAATTTTACGTGCCTAACGAATTGGGAATATATGAATAAATACTACATTATAACAGATTTATTAATGTTAAGAAACATTAATTGCACTAATTTAAAACAATATTCCTAAACAAAGTCTAAATTATCATTATATTGAAGCGCACATGTGCTATAAGTTTATAACAAAAGTTCTTGCATAAACCTAAAGTCCACGAGATGTTCGAAGTAAACACAACTCCCACACTCGAGAAAGAGAAACAAAAAAACCAAAATAAATAAGTTTAATCCAACTCATTAATTAGTATATATGAGACTTTTTAAGAGGTGTCCAAAGACAAATTCGTGAGGTCTCGGTCCAAAATAGACAATATCATACTAATGCAGTGTTAGAACGACGATAGGCAGAAGTAAAGACCATTGAGGAGTTCCTTGTGTTGTGCGAAGTCAACGATGTGCCACTAATAAATTAAAGGGTGATCTACGAGCTAGCAGGTGGAGATCTATTGTAATGCCTTGCATCAAAAGTCTCCCCGACAAGAAGAACTAGTCAGGCACCGGGTCTAGCAGGTTATTGTGGCAGAACAATTCTCCCCGACAAGAAGAACTAGTCAGGCACTAGCAGGTTATTGTGGCGGAACGGTGCAGGATAGGTGATAAATCAGAAACAAAAAACTGTGAAGTTTCGGAACTGAAATGTTCGGGTTGATTAATCACCAACAAAGTATATACTTCCTCCGTCCACAAATAAACTTTACGTTCACTATTCACATGGTCAAACTTTATTCGTTTTGTTGGCCTATTTTCGTCACCCATTTGATAAAATAATAGTCATGTCACCTCTAGTTTTGTAGATCTTTTGATATAGTTTTTTAATATGTAATTTTTATTTTTCAATTCTACACCATTTTTCATATAAAATGATTTGAAAATAACTTCTGTCAAACATCGTAACGCGCAATGTAAATTTTATTTGTGGACGGAGGGAGTATACAAGAATATATGAGTCCCAATTACACGTTGAATTGGCCCATATGCTAAAATACATAATTACATCCTTTATACCGAGTATATAAATTTTAGAGTCAAATCTCTTAGAAGATAACATACCGAGTATATAAATTTTAGAGTCAAATCTCTTAGAAGATAACATGTGTCAAGCCTTAGAGATGACATGTATCAAGCGTTAGAGATGACATGTGGTAAATTTAATATGAGTTACTTTCTTTTTTTATTTTACTTTCTTATTTTCCATCTCTTCAAATATCACACTTTTTCACTCTTTTTTTTAAAAATGATAATTACAATTCATGAACCTATTCCAAAAGTAATTTGATCCTTTAGAAGTGTGATTTGTTGGATTAAGTGTTGCTTTTCAAAACTTATTTATTATTTTCAATACCAAATTATGTCTCTGTTTATTATAAAATGCATGTTGATGTGTGCCCTTTTGTGTGTTTGAGTGTTGTTCTTGTGTTAGTGTGTGAGTTTGTGTGAGATAATTTACTTAAATAAGACTAAAATATAATAATTTTTTGAATATAGTACTATATGTTTTTATTTTCTAATGTAGGACCATTGGTCATTATCTATTAGTCATTATTTAATAAAATGTTCAGCATCACTTGGATATTATTCTTCTCATTACGCATTATTATGTCCTATTTAGAGAATAGAAAAGTTTAAGTCATATATTGGGAAATGACTTACTCCCTCCGTTCCTTAAAATCCTTAGCTTCTTCTTTCATTTTTTTCTAATTTTCTAAAACACTTCCATTTTCTATTAAAAAAACATATTTACCCCTACTTTTTTATACCCTACCTATCACATCATACTTTTTAACTAATAACCAAATTATCACAATTTACTTTACCCATCACATCAAGCCCAAAATTGGAAAATCAACCAAAATTACATTTTTCTTATTTTTGCCCAAAGTCAAAACAGGAACCTTTTAAGGGAACGGAGGGAGTATGCTTTAGTCCAATTCAATGCCAATTTCATGTTTTTGTTAATATTTTACGCTTTATCTCAATTAACCCCATCTTAGTGTTTATTCCATATATGTTATATCTATGTGCCTTATATTATTTGTTTAGTGTTAGTATTTTTACCTGAGACTCCATTTGGTACACGAAATTCAAACTATGGAATTAGAATTGTGAGTAATAATTTTAATTTTGCTATTTGGTACTACAAAAATATGTGTATTTGAAATTTGTAGTGCCAAAAATGAATTGAATTGTAAAACTCAAAAAACATCCAAATCAATTCTATAAAATTTCAAATCCCAATTTAATTTCAATTTCTTCAATTACATGTACCAAAGGAACATTGAGTCTTTTTTTGTGACAAAGTAGCAATCATAAACTGGTTTGATCTTCTTTCTTCGAGGGATATATCGATCCTTAATTTTTTTTTTGAGGGAGACCCTTAATTATTTGTCTCAACCACTTGTTTGCTATTTGATTCATTCAAAGGGGTTAAGTTTAAGGAAATTTATACTCCCTCCCTCCTAATTTAATACTCCTAGTTTTACTTTATATTGGAGTCTAAAAAACGAAATTATGTAGTTAAAAGTGATGCAGAAGTAAGAAAAAAAAGTGAGTTACAAAAAACTTACCAAAAAAAGAAAGAAGAAAATTAATTTAAAAATCATCATAAATAGAAGTAAAACATAGAGAAAATATCAAAATATGAGTTTCATGTTTTTATTTCTTAAATAGGAGTGCACATTATGTTAAACTGGCACTGTATATGTGAATTTTAGCATACATTTTGGTATTGTACATGGTCATGATTCATAATGTAAATGCGTTTTAACTCATATTTCAGAAATAAAAACATTGAACTCCTATTTTGGTGTATTTTCAATATTTTATTTTTATTTTAGTCTTTTTTCCATTAATTTAGGTCAACCCAAAAAGAAAATAAGGAAGATTAATTTGGAACAAAAGGAGTATTAGTTTGTTGGAATATGATGATAGTTCTGTACCTCTATATGAAGTACTCCGTAGAAAAAATAGATACTAGTATAAGTTTCATGTAATTGTTTTAGTGGAAAAATAATGTATCCGTCCCAAAATGGTATTCTAAAATATTTTTATATATAAATTTGTATAGAAATAAAAAATAAAATTATATATCAAAAAAATTATAAAAAAGTTTTTTACAAAATAATTTATGATATAAATAATTTATTTTATCAAATGTTCAAAGAGATGTAAATGCTCAAAAGCTATCAAGATGTTGAATTAGTAAATGGGTAAATCATTTTAGAAAGGAAGGAGTAATTAAATTTGAAAAAAATAAAAAAATATTCTTCAAATTTCCGAAAATTATGAAAGTATGGAGTAAATAGGATTGCGTGTATCATGATGAGTACATAGCTTTCGGGCTTTTAATTGCTTTATCGAGAAGCAAGCAATTGTTTATGTGAAAGAAAGAAGAATTGGAGTTTAATGTTAGGCACATCCCCACAACTTATTCGCGAGTGAGCTACACGTCCTTTTATCTTAAAAATGTGCGGCTAACTGACATGTTGTCTTATCCATTCCACGGCGCGCAATAGGATAACCACAAGTCAGCATTTAACTAGAGTTATATCCCTCACAAATAATTGTTTGGACCTCAAACCGATTAACACACTATGTAATTCAAGCATATATATATATATTTCATCCGTCCAATAATAATATTTTCGTTCACTATTCACAAGTTCAAACTTTATTTATTTTATTGGCATATTTTCGTTGCTAATTTAGTAAAATAATATAGTAAAATCGCCTTTAGTTTTATAAATCTTTTCATGTAGTTTTTATATAGGTAATTTTTATTTTTTATTTCATATTATTTTCCACATAAAACGATTTGAATATAACTTCAGTTAAACATCGTAACGCGCAACGAGACATTATTGTTGGACAGAGGAAGTGTGTCTACACACACACACACACACACAAGTATTTCTACCCGTGCCTCGCACGGGTTCAGACAAATTTTTTTCGATTCTACAACGTGGATTTTTAAAATGAATTGATTTTTATGGGGCATATTATTTAACATTATAATGAAATACAAGTATTATTTAACAATCCAATTTTTTCTGACTCCCTTAATCATATTCTTTTGATCAAAGCCACCAACTAGTTCGAACCAAATCTCTTGATCTGTGACTTTTAAGGCCTGACTCCTCAGCCATTTGTTTCAATCGTAAGAAATCCGTCTGTACAATGAAATACATAATGAATATATAATAAACATATAGAGTATATGTAACTATCACATTGTCACATTGTATTTAAATTTAATTAATAAGAAGTGTGCATAATTCACATTTATCACAAGTTGTGCATTTTTAGGATCTATCCATGTGTTTACCATCATGTTTCTTCGTCTTGGTGTGCTTGAAAGCATCCACCACTGTTATTGGAGCTTCAGACTTTTTAGCCTACAATATAAAAAATATTGTAAGTTCATCAAAATATATGTACATATTTATAATTAACATATAAATTTAGAAGTTAAAAAAGGATTAATATGTATTCATTCATTCAGTTCATTACTTACCAATCGGACAAGGTGTTCAGAAAAAGGAATCGACCCTTGCGACAGAACGTAGAATCCGTCAAAGATTTGCGACGGAATAGGATTATCCGTCGCAGATTTTGTCAAATTTTAAATGTCCTTATTTGCGTCGCAAATTCTATCGCAATTTGTGACGGATTAAATCCGTAGCGGATATTCCGTCGCAAATTGAACTAAATCTTGCAGTGTGTTAACACCCTAGCTTACCGTCATGTATCAAACAAGGTTCATGAATTTGTTAAAACATCATATTTATTTTCAGAAATCATTTTCATATTGATCGTACCAGATTGGTATTAATGCAGTCCCCCATGGAAGACGTGGAGGCATAATGGGAGGCACCGTAGCCGATCGTGCTCCTCGAACTCTAAAAGGCAAATCAGGCATTTCACATTGGTCAAGCACCCCGTGACTAAACCAAATGTGAAACGCAGGAGCTCCACCACGTCAGAGGCGGATGGGGAAGAGAGTGCCGATGGGGATGGGGGCACGTGCGGAGACGGGTGGGGATAGGGATGCGGAGACGGGTGGAGATGGGGGTGCGGGGACGGGTGGGGATGGCGATGGGGGTGGGAGTGTGGGTGTGCCGACAGGTGTCACGCCGCACGTCCAGTGTAAGCGGCAAAGCATCCGTCGAAGGAGATGTGTAAGGATGCCGATGATGATAAGAAAATTTACTATAATGAAGGCCACTTTTAAATAAGAGCGGGTAGGGATTGGGTTGTGTGGGTCGGGGTGATTGTTACTACCACCCATGAACATGCATTAGAGTGAGAAGAAGTTCTCCAGTTAAGCTAGTTGTGAAGTGAGAGCAAAAGAAGAAGTGTGACATTTAAGCAGTAGCTAGTTGTGAAGTAAGAGCAAGAGAAGAAGTGCGGCATTTAAGCAGTAGTGAAATAAGGTTGAAGGAGATGGGGAGAGGTAAGGGTGTGGATAGGTAGAAAAATAATTGTCTAAATTGCATGGATATGTTGTGTTATGCCTAAACATACCAAGAAATTTTGGAAAAACAACCAAAGGTAAGGGATCAAAAAAAAAGTTCCGGGTGAGCTTTGAGTAATTTTGATGCATGTGGGAAGTGATTCTAAAATAGTAAAATTCTTTAAAAGAATTGAACAACAAGCATGATAAGATATAAAGTTAGAATTTTATCACCTACACACGTATATATGAATTTAAAAAATATGACAATTTAAAATGAGATTATTAGTATTATTAAATTTAAATTATTGCATAATACTCCTCCGTCCCAAAAAGAATTTCCTACTTTGATTAACGTGCAAAACCCCATAGATTTTAAAATGATTTTATTTGCAAATTGGTAAGGAAATAACACATAAAAAAATTATATTTAAAAACTACATTGAAAACTCTACAAAATAAGAAGTGACAAGAATATTTTGTTTTATCAAATGATCAATGAAAATACGCAAACAAATAAGAGTTATCGAGAGGCCGTAATAGTAAACAGGAAAGACTTTTTGGGATGGAGGGAGTAGTACCTTGTTTGCGATGGAAACAGAGATTTATCGCAGATTTTCTGTCACAAAGCCTCTATATTTTGGTCGCAGAAATAAAAATTGCGATAGGGTTGCGATGGAATAAATCTGTCGCAAAAACTTGTCGCATTTCCAAAATTTGCGACGGAAAAGTATATCCGTCACAAGCCTGCGACGGAATCTCCGAATGGGAGATGATCTCCATGGTTGAAACTGTATCTGTGATCCGTCGCAAATTGCGACGGTTTTTGCGACAAAAATATAGAATTTGTTTTGTAACTTGCGACAAAATCTGCGATGGAAGTTATCTGTCTCAAATGCACCAGAACACATAACGCAGGGCCGTTGCAATTCATTTTTTACCACCAATACACAGCATAGAAACATTACAGCATAAAAACAACAGCAGTGAAACAACACAGGATTCTTCGAATTCATTAAAACACGATTCTTTACTGAATTCATTGTCAATCACAACACAAAATTCATGAAAACACAATTCTATCCAATTCTTTATCAATCACAACAAATAATTTATTAAAACACAAGATTGTCATAGCTAATTTATGCCACACAACCGGTTCCCGAGCCTTCCATCCTGTCATCACAGTCTCAAGGTGTCGGAAGATTTCCGCCACACATTCTTTGAATTGGTTCAACAACAGTTAACTCAATTTTATCTAACCTTGCCTTCATGACTTCAATTTCTTCTCTTAGCCGCTCAATCTCTAAAATATCACTGGTGCTCTTTCTTCTGCTTTGATATCTAGGTTTAAGGGGTTTCATTTGTTCGGCAAGATCTCCGACTCCCTTAATCCTATTCTTTTGATCAAAGCCACAACTAGTTCAAACCAAATCTCTTGATCCGTGACTTTAAGGCCCGACTCCTCAGCCATTTGTTTCAATCGTATGAAATCAGTCTATACAATGAAATACATAATGAATACATAATAAACATATAGGGTATATGTAGTCATTACATTATCGCATTGTATTTAAATTAAATTAATAAGAAGTGTGCATAATTCACATTTACCTCAAGTTGTGCATTTTTGGGATCTATCCATGTTTTACCATCATGTTTCTTCGTCTTGGTGTGCTTGAAAACATCCACCACAGTTATAGGAGCTTTAGACTTTTCAGCCTACAATATAAAAAACATTGTAAGTTCACCAAAAAAATATGTACATATTTATAATTAACATATAAATTTAGAAGCTAAAAAATATCAATATGTATTCATGCATTCATTACTTACCAATCGAGCGAGGTGTTCAGAAAAAGGAATCGACCCTTGAGATGGAATAGGATTATCCGTCGCAGAATTTTTGTCGCAAAACCTATTTTTGGTCGCAGAATTAGAAATTGTGATAGGGTTGTGACGGAAAATTTTTTTTGACATAATAGGATAATCCGTCGCAAATTTTTTCGTAATTTGTGACAGATTAAATCCGTAGCAGATATTCCGTCGCAAATTGAACTAAATCTAGTAGTGTTTAACACCCTAGCTTACTGTCATGCATCAAACAAGCTAAGGTTCTTGAATTTGTTAAAACATTATATTTATTTTCAGAAATCATTTTCATATTGATTGTAACTGATTGATATTAATGCACTCCCCCATGGAAGGCGTGGAAGCACAACGGGAGGCGTCGTAGCCGGTCGTGCTCCTTAAACTCTAAAAGGCAAATAGGGCACCCCATGACTGAACCAAATGTGAAATCCGGGAGCTCCTCCGTGTCAGAGATAGATGGGGAAGAGAGTGCTGATGGGATGGGGATGCGGAGACGTGTAAGGATGGGGATGCGGAGACGGGTGGAGATGGGGGTGCGGAGACGGATGGGGAAGGGGGTGGGATTGTGGGTGTGGCGACAGGTGCCGCGTCGCGCGTCTGGTGCACGCGGCAAAGCATTTGTCGAAGGAGATGTGTAAGGATGCCGATGATGATAAGAAAACTTACTATAATGAAGACCGCTTTTATATAAGAGCGGGTAGGGATTGTGTGGCAAGGGTTGGGGAGATTGCTACTACCACCCATGAACATGCTTTAGAGTGAGAAGAAGTGCTCCAATTAAGCTAATTTTGAAGTGAGAGCAAGAGAGGAAGTGCAGCATTTAAGCAGTAGTTAGTTGTGAAGTGAGAGCAAGAGAGGAAATGCAGCATCTAAGCAGTAGTGAAGTAAGGTTGAAGCAGATGGGGAGAGGTAAGGGTGTGGGTAGGTAGAAAAATAATTGTCTAAATTGCAAGGAGATGTTGTGTTATGCCTAAACATACTAAGTAATTTTGGAGAAGCAACCAAAGGTAAGGCATCAAAAAAAGTTTTCCAAGGTAGGTGAGATTTGAGTAATTTTGATGCATATGAGAAGTGGTCCTAAAATAGTAAAATTCTTTAAAAGGATTGAACAATAAACTAGATAAGATATAAAGCTAGAATTTAATCACACACACACATATATATGAATTTTAAAAATATGACATTATAACATTTATGATTGTTTCCTTGTTGTAACCCCTTCCCCTTTGTATATAAAGGGAGGTGGAATCATTGTATTAAATCAGTGAAAATAATAATTCTTTCATATATATATATATATATATATATATATATATATATAATCCCAACCATGGGGCATGACGGATGAAGGAAGTGGTGTGTCCCTTCTTCAAGTTCCCGTCACCCTACTCCACTATGGTGCCATTATTGTGAAGGGGTGTGGCCCCTTGCTGGGTGATAGCAGTCTCGCCGTGGTGCTACTTCTCTTCTTTTATTTTCAACTAATTAAAATCTAATACATATTAATCCCAACCAATTAAAATAATCCATATCTTCACCCATCTAATTATATATCCATTTTCTTAAATCAAATGATATCTTTGTAGCGCCAGGGCCGGCTACACATGTGTGTGTGTGTAAAAGAAACCAAAAAAGCTAAGCTACACTATACAAAGAGTCAAATGTTCAAAACCAAAAAACTTGAAAAAGTAACATAAGGAGAATCCTACTCGATCTAGTGGGCTACTTTTCCTTTTTTTGAGGAAAAATTTTCTCTCAAAATAAATTGCGGTTCTATTGCCTAAAATTTCCCAATTTTGCAAGAGAGGTTCTACGGCGGACCTACTCACATCTTTTTTTAATTTTAAAAAATGCTTAATCTTACACTTGAAAATGCTTATTTAGCGTATATGAAAGTTCACCATTGGCTTTAAATGTATGTGTTGATTTAAGCTCAAATTGAAGAATTGAGCAGAAAACATCAAGAGCTTAACGAAGAAGATGAAGAAATGAAGAACTCCATTGTAATGAAAATAACAGAAGGCGTTTGTTACGGGAATATTCTGAACTGACTTATACAAACGAAAAAGAAGAGAGTATTTATACTAAACATATTAAGCTAAGCCACATCAGCACGAGCATAGCGAATAAGAAAAAATATAACACTAAATGTGATATTCAGTAACAGCCCCCCGCAAGTTGGTGGGTGATAGAACTCCCAACTTGGGAAGGAGATGATGATGAACTGGACCAGGCAAACTTTTGGTGAACATATCTGCAACTTGAGACCCAGTGGGGATATGGTCAAGAGTAATGAGCCCATCTTGTAATTTCTCACGTACAAAATGACAATCGAGTTCAATGTGTTTTGTCCTCTCATGGTAAACTGGATTTGTGGCAATGTAAATTGCTGCTTTACTGTCACATTTGACTGGAATGGGTAAAATATCTGGAATGTCAAACTCAGAGAGAAAGCGAGAGAGCCAAGCAAGTTCAGTGGTGACACGTCGAATGGATCTGTATTCGGCTTCAGCAGAGCTAAGGGAAACTGTGGGCTGTTTCTTTGCCTTCCAGAATATAGGACAACCTTCTAATAAGATAAAGTATCCACTAACAGACCTTCGTGTAGTAGGACAAGCAGCCCAATCAGAGTCACAATAAGCCTCCAGTTTGAAGTCAAAAGAAGGATTGAAAAACAATCCCTGAGAAGGGTTCCTGTTGAGATAATGGAGAGTATGTAGGGCTGCTTCCCAATGAGGTTGTCTTGGGTTCTGCATAAACTGACTTAGAAACTGAACTGCAAAAGCAATATCAGGTCTTGTATGAGTCAAAAAATTCAATTTGCCTATCAGTCTTCTGTAGGAAGCAGGATCAGGAAGTGATGGTCCAATGTCCATGCGAAGTTGTAGATTGGCTTCTAAAGGACAGATTGCTGTTTTGTGAGGAGGGCATTGAAACTCCTTGAGAAGATCTAGAGTAAACTTGTGTTGGGTGATGAGCAGACCTTGAGGTTGGTAAAGAATCTCCAAACCAAGAAAGTAACTCAGGTGTCCTAGATCCTTGATCTTAAAAACAGAATCCAGATAAAGCTTTAAGTTGTGAATTTCAGCACTATCATTTCCAGTAAGTAGAATGTCATCTACATATACAGCAAGGTGAACCACCAAATCTCCATTCCTCTTTGTGAACAAAGAGTAGTCATTTTTGGAAAAGATATATCCTCTAGATCTCAAAACAGTAGAGAGTTTGGCATACCATTGCCTAGATGCTTGTTTGAGACCATACAAGGACTTTTGAAGCTTCAGAACTTTAGTAGGATGTGGTAATGGCAAACCTGGAGGTGGCTTCATGAAGATGTTCTCATCCAAATCCCCATGCAAAAATGCATTGTTAACATCTAATTGAAACAAAGGCCATTTCTTCTTAACAGCTGTAGCAAGCAAGCATCTGATTGTAGTCATCTTAACTACTGGTGAGAAAGTTTCATGGTAATCAATACCTTCCTTTTGAGTGCACCCTCTTATGACTAGTCTGGCCTTGTGTCTTTCTAAAGATCCATCTGATTTGTATTTAAGTTTGTAGACCCACTTGCTACTTATAGGTTTCTTCCCTTTAGGAAGATCACAGATCACCCAAGTTCCTGTGTCATGGAGAGCTTGAAGCTCCTTTTGCATAGCTTCCTCCCAAGCAGGTATTCCTTTAGCTTCCTCATAAGATCTAGGCTCCTGCATTTGTGAAACACTATGCAAAAATTGTTGACTATCAGTGGTTAGAGCACTGGAGCAAACATATGAGGAAGAGGGAAAGGAAGTGATGGTATGGGCACAGAATATGGGTTGAGAAGTGGAGGATATTGTAGAGTAACACACATAATCATCCAAATGAGAAGGTGGTTTATGGGATCTGGCAGATTGTCTGAGTGTGTTGGAGGGAATGGGAATTTGAGTGTTTACAGCTGAATGCTGATTTTGGGAAGATGCATCTTGACAACCTGTAGCTGAGTGATGTGATGAAAATTGAGAAGGAATGTTTGAAACTGGGCAAGGACTTATGGATAGGTCATCCTCAAATAATGAACGTGGAGATTGGGGTGAAGGAAAGATGGATTCTGATGAAGAAACACTATGAAAGGGAAAGGTGTTCTCATGGAATATGACATTTCTAGAATCTTCAAGTTTCTGAGTTGAGATATTTAAGACCTTGTAAGCCTTTTTTCCATATGAATAACCCAGAAAAACACAGGCAGAAGCTCTCTCTGCAAATTTACCCCTACCTTGTGTTTGTGTAGAGACATAACAAAGGCACCCAAAGACTCTAAGATGGTGATAAATGGGGGGTTTACCAAATAATTTCTCATAGGGACTTTTTCCTTGAAGGACTTTAGAGGGAAACCTGTTGACGAGGTATGTGGCTGTAAGTACACACTCACCCCAAAACTTCATAGGTAGGTTAGATTGAAACAACAAGGCTCTGGAAGTCTCAAGTAAGTGTTTGTGTTTTCTCTCAACCACCCCATTCTGTTGAGGAGTATTTCTAATGGTGGTCTGATGCAGTATACCTTTTGTCATGAAATATTGAATCATGGATGTGCTTTTCCCAAGTTCTAAAGCATTATCCGATCTGATGTTTTGAACAGCTGTATTGAACTGTGTCTGAATCATGGTTATGAATGTTTGAATCAAATCTGGGGCATTGCTTTTAGCTGATAAAAGATAAGTCCAAGTAGATCTAGAAAAATCATCTACTATGGTGAGAAAATATGAGAAACCATTGTGAGTTTTTGTATGATAAGGTCCCCAAATATCTATGTGAATGAGTTCAAAAATGTGATTACTGTGTGTTTGGCTATGTGGAAAAGGAAGTTTGTGTTGTCTGGCCTTATGACATACATCACATGTAGACAAACAATCTGTATTGACAATACCAAGATCAGTAATTGTTTTCAGCTTGTATACAGGTAAATGTCTCATTCTCATGTGCCAGACAGTAGAATCAACAATTTTACAAGCTTTATTACAGGAAATGGAAGAAAGAAAACTAGTATTATGCAAGAGACAAGTGTTGGAAATTGCATCAGTTTGTGTTGATTGAGATTGAGTTTCTGAAACTCTTTTTGAAACATAAAGACCTCCATGTCTCTCACCAAGAACCAGTGGCTTCTTCATTGAATGGCCCTGCAGAATGCACAGACCTTGGGTAAAGCTTGCAGTAACACCCAACTGACTGCATAACTGTCCCATTGACAACAAGTTATATGTGAAAGAAGGAACAAAAAGGACTCCTTCCAGATGTATATCATGGGGTAAAATGACTGTTCCAATTTGAGAGACAATGAGTTTTTGATTATTGGGTAAGGTAATGTGTTGTGGAGTTGAAAGAGATTCAAGATCACAAAACAGCTTGATATTGGAACACATGTGGTCAGTAGCTCCAGTATCTAAAATCCAACTATAGTCATCAATTTTAAACACAGTATTGCACAAGTGAGAAGACAAGAAATTATGTGAAGCTGAAATCATACCTGCCATATGTGCAGAAAAGGTAGTGGCCTTAGAATCCCCATTAGATTTATAAGGTTGATCACCAGCTCTCATTGTGCTCAGGAATTGCATGAATTGGTTATACAAAGCAACATTATCCTGACCACGGGAATGTTCTTCAGTCATCATTGACTCCTCTCCACTGAATGCTTGAGCTGCCACTTTCTTCCCTTTGGTAAACTTGAAATCCTTTGGATAACCAACAAGCCTGTAACATTTATTGGCTGAGTGACCTGGTTTCTTGCAATGTTCACAGTATATTTGTTTCTTGTTGTCAAGCTTGCCTTTGTAATCCCCTGCAGTGTGTGTTGGTTTGAAGGTGGATTGATTGTTAGCATTTAAGGATGCATGTTCTGCCATGAAAGGTGAGGAGGATTGTATTTCCTTCTGCTTTTCCTCATGAATAACTAAGCCATATGCTTCGCTGACAGTTGGCAGAGGTCTCATGACTAGTATATTTCCTCTAAGGACATTATAGTCTGAATTCAAACCCATAAGAAATTGAATTAGTCTCTGATCCTGTTCATATTTGAGTAAGGCTTGCACAGCACCACAGGTACACTTTGGAAGATTACACACAATATTCAGTTCATCCCAAGCAGTCTTCAGTTTAGTAAAATATGCAGCAACATCAGAGTTTCCTTGTGTAATTGAGCAAACCTCTTTCTGTAATTGGTACAGCCTTACGCCATTGGATTGTCCAAAACGTTCCTCAAGTTCTGTCCAAATCTCAGAAACAGAATTAGCATATAAAACGCTGTCAGCAATCTCCTTACTGAGTGCATTCAGAATCCATGAAGTGATCATATCATTGCAACGCTGCCAGGCATTGAGTTGAAGAGGATCATTATCAGGTCTCGGAATATTTCCTTTAGTGAATTCCAATTTGTTCTTGGCTGATAGTGCAATCGAAATGGATTTCTTCTAGGATCCAAAACCTTCACCATCAAACCGTTTGGAGACTAGATTCATCCCAGGATGATCCGATGGATGTAAGTATAATGGATCGTGAGGTGCGATTGTGGAGGAATTACCAGAATTATCTGTATTCCGTGACGCCATGAAGGATCCTTGATTCAATTAGGAAAAAAATTGAGAAATAAACCTGGAAACAAGGAGATCGGAGAAAGAGAACTAGATTCGAGTCTTCACCAGCTCTGATACCATGTTGATTTAAGCTCAAATTGAAGAATTGAGCAGAAAACTTCAAGAGCTTAACGAAGAAGATGAAGAAATGAAGAACTCCATTGTAATGAAAATAACAGAAGGCGTTTGTTACGGGAATATTCTGAACTGACTTATACAAACGAAAAAGAAGAGAGTATTTATACTAAACATATCAAGCTAAGCCACATCAGCACGAGCATAACGAATAAGAAAAAATATAACACTAAATGTGATATTCACTAACAGTATGTAATAATTTGTCATTTCACAAATAGCCTCAGCCAAATCTCTCAATGGACCACGAATTTGACATTTTATTATTCTTGATACTATAATATTAATTGATATACTTTATTCTATTAAACTTAAGTCCCGTTAAGTTTCCTTCAAACCCGGCATAACACGTGGTGTAAGTATAACCCAAACAAATGGAGCGCGCAGCACTACACGTCTACAACACAATGATATTATTAAGGTTATTGCCGTACGTAATTACGGGCAGAGTTAATGTTAAATGACTGTCTCGGCGTCATCATCATAGTACTAAATCAAAGCAAGTCTCTTGTCTTTATCACTAAACACCACCACCAAAAAAGAAAAACAAAACAAAAAGCAAAAAAAAAAAGTGATCAAATTTGTAGAAATCTTATGTGAAGAAAAGCAGCATCAACCAGGCAGGCTTATTCAAGCATTATACCACGTACAGGGACTGGTGGGCTGGGCCCGAGTCCTGGGCCTGGCTTCTCTTCATGGGTACCACTCAGGAATGAAGTTATTCGCACTGGGCCCTCCTAACGTTATATGGCTGTCCGTCTGGTACCTGAAAATCAAATGTCCAAAATAAAAACAACCTAAGGCCGATATTTTAAAAAGGTTACACATGCAAGACTTGAAACTCTCACGTTTCTGAATATTTATTCATTTTTTACTTTTTTTAAGTAAAAATTGATAAATTTTGACTTGAAATTAAATATAAATGATACGAAATATTAAATATTGATGCAAAAATAGTTTGATTATATTTATTATATCAAATTGTTTCAAAATATTATTTTATCTAATTAATATACAATATATATTTTATTTAATTATGAGTTAAATGTTAAAACGGTTGACCAAAAAAAGTTAAAACTGGATAAATACTTAGGAACAGAGATAGTATTCCGTAAAAATCTTTTCTGAGTCTACAATCATATGCTCCCTCCATTTTTAAAACACTCTTCTTTCATTTTTTTTCTCTCCCCAAAATACCTCCATTTTTTATTAAAAAATCACTTTAGCCTTATTGTTTCTTACCCTACCTATCACATTTTCACTAAATTTCTAACCATCATATTTTAGTTTTACCCATTAGAAAGTCATTTGGAGGGAGTACTTGACTTGTGGTAAGTAGAGTTATGCATGTGATGAGATATATAAGAGAAAACAAAAGAACAGGTATATATAGAGTTATGAATTGGGAGTTTACCCAATCTGTAAAGTGGGTTCACAATCCATGTGATGATAGAAGGCAGCTTGGCCCCCGTCGGGTTGAATCGTTTGTCTCCCGTAATCGGTGTCCGGTTGCATGGTTTGTCTGGCGTAATCGACATCGTGCGGGTTCGGGTTCCAGTCCAAAGTTAAGTGGTGGGCATCTTCCATCAGCTGTTATATATAGATGATCCAGTTACTTGTTATGTACTCCCAAGGATATATAACAAACACATTCTTTGACAGTGGGGGATATTTACCCCAATTGCAAATCCATCAGTTGTTTCCCATACATAAATATGTGATGCAAGCAATTACCACAGTAAAATTATTTCAGGTAAAAGAATTGTGTACCAAAATGATAGAGATCACAAAGTTATGATACCTTGAGTAGCCAAATGTATGGGAAACAACTTAGCAAAAAGCAAATGAAAGAGGAAATGATGAGAGGTAAAGAAAGAAGAGTAATTGTCACACAAACCCTTTGTTTCAGAGTCTTGTTTGCTTCGTTTAGCTCATGTTCCTGTAGAAACAGCAGGCAGGCTTTATATAAAACAATGAATTAACCACTAGACCTTACTCTGAACTCCCCATTTATTGAATGAATTTAGCCAACATATTATTGGAAATTTTCAAAAAAAATAAAATAAATTAAACTAATGTTATTGTAACCAATTAAAGACAAGCCAATTCCCAAGTACTCCCTTTGTTCCAATATATTTACTCCCTCCCTCTTACCCTTACTTTTTCATACCCTACCTATCACATCATACTTTTTCTCTAATAATCTATCCATCACATCTTACTTTTACCCATCACATCAAGGGCAAAATTGGAAATCAACTACTCCCTCCGTCCCTCTAAGATGTTCTCATTTTGACTTTTGGTGATTTTTAAGGAGAGTTGAAAAAAGGTGAAAGTTTACCATAATACCCTTAAGGAAAATGGGTGGAGTGTATTAAATGAGGTGGGTGAGGTGTAATAAATAAAGTAAGTGAGGGTAGTTGTGGTATTTTAATTGTTAAAAAATGAAATGAGAAGATCTATTGTGGACAAAGAAAAAGGGCTATTAGAAAGATCTATGGGGGACGGAGGGAGTATAATTTAACACTTCATTATTTTTGCCCCAAATCAAAATGGGAAGTCTTTTTGCAAACGGAGGGAGTACGAATTATTTGACTTTTTATAGTCTCTAATATTCCATCCGTCCCACATAACCTTTCTGGCTTTGACTTTTACAGGATTTAATGAGACTGTAGTTTTGGTGTTGACTTTTCAAAAATACTCTGGAATGTGATAGGTAAAACTAGGATGTGATAGGTAGATTAATAGTGAATATATGTGATGTTATAGGTATGTTGAAAATCATTAGAGGTAAAGTGACTTTTTAATAGAAATGAGAAACATTTTTTGGGACGGATAAAAAAAGAAAGCAGAAAGTTGTGGGACGGAGGGAGTATCATATTTTGATCAATAATAATTATACTTGTACATAAATATATCTCATAAAAATATTATATTTTGAAATAAATTTAACTATCGTACTCCCTTTGTAAAAAAAATTCCCAAATTTCTTTTTCTGGTTTCATTCCATTTTTGGAAAACTTTTTGTGGCTCATCTCTTTTGTATCACTTTCAACCATACAATTTTACGCTAATTAAGTTTTCTGTCAAGTCAAATTAAGAATTTTTTTAAGGTACAAGTCTTTATATGCAAAATTAGGTTCAAGTTTGATAACTTTGATCCCGAAAACATAAACATGCAAATTAAATTAAGACGGGAAGTAGTTTTTCGTCATATCCCTTTTTTTTTAAAAGTTGAAGTGTTTAAAGGAGGGAGTTATTCATTTTGGAGAGAGGGGTATTTGAGAAGGAATAATTAGGGTGTGTGCACATTAGATACCTTTCTCTGAAGATCCATGAGTTGATCCAACATTAATTGGGTCTGCAGTGGTATATGCATTCATGGATTAATTAATTACATCATCATCAACAAAAAGGGGTTAATAAGCAAAGAAGAAGAAGAAGAGGAAAAAAAGTTTGAAATTAGGGTTAGGTCAAAAAGGAATTGAACTAGAGTACATATTCACACACACACACACATACCCTTGTTGATCTGATCTGCTTCAATGACATATCAAGCTGCCTTTCAAGAGATTCAAGTTCCTTGCTGTTCAAAGGCCCAAGATCTTCTCCTAATAGGTTCCTATATTCATTTTACATATCACCACCAGATATTAAAAAAAGAAAACATGACTGTGTAGTATTGGCTGGCACTTATATATTAGAACAGATATGAAAGGAATTATTTATAGATGAAGATTATATAAATATAAATATAAATATATATATATATATATATATATATATATATATATATATATATATATATATAAATATAAATATAAATATATATACACACACACACACACACTAGCTATACCTTTGTGATCTCTGTAATGCTTCATATCTTGCTTTCAGTTTCAGATATTCCTGTTGACTACTTATCTCCTACAACCAAACAAGAATAGATGAATGATTTTAATTAGAGCTGGCAAATTATTTGGTCAAGTTCAGATACGGTCGTTTCGTGTTCGGGTTACTTCGAGTTTTGGTTTAAAGTATATGTTCATGACCAAGTACATCGGGTTTGAGTCGACCCAATAGGTTATGACCGTTATTTTTATAGTTTTTAAATTCATATTAACACTCCCACTTTGTATTCAATAAAAATAAGATATCAAGAAAACTGTTCAGGAAATATATTTTAATATGTAATTATTAATTCTATTTTAACAAGCATTTTTAAGGGATTAGTCTCTTCTTTACATGATAAGAAATAATCCATTCCATCCGTCACAGAATGAAATTAAGTCCTAGTTACTATATCAAATTTCTAATAACTCTTACTATTTGTATATGTGTTTCCATGATTATTTAATAAAATTAAATAGTTATGTTAGTTCTTGTTTTATAAAATTTTTGATATAGTTTTAAGTATGTAAATTTCATTTTGAAATTCTATACCAATTTTCAAATAAATAATGTTAGAAATTTGTTTGGAGGATGAACGCTGCGAATCAGCATTGACCTAAAGATGAACGATGAAACAGATGAATTACGACTCGATAGTTTAACGAATTACGTAAACGCTTTCTGATCAAAGTTATTTTAGAGTATACCAAAATACTTTAATAAGATAAAAGGTTAATCAAGAACAAGCACATCGAATATTTTCTCAACCATACCAGCGAGACTCTTTTTAAAGAGTCCAAAATGGAGATGTGACATGAAAGTCCTATGAACGTTCGCTTAAGTGGCAAACATACATGCGAAGAATTTTCTGCGGTTTAGGGCCATGTTTGACGTTTTATCCACACATCTGAATCCTTAAAGTTTTGGACTTCACTTCCGAGAGAAGTGTACGTTTTTTAATGACACACTCTCTTTATTCTATGTCAGTTGTCTATTGTAATTTTATAAATACATTGAAAAATAAATGAATAAATACATATTTCATGTCTCCATTAAGTAGCTTTTTCGATGTAGAGACATAATTTATGTCTCCATTAAGTACGTAGAGTTATGTTCTTACCCCCCACTGAAGAACGAACCTGTGACCTCCCATATAAGAGAGCCAATATATTTATGTATATAATGCCTAGAAATCTAAATTTCTTTAACTTTTCCCTTAAAAAAATTATTTAACTTTGAATTAATTACAAAAGTTGTAACAATGAGTAATTAATTGTTAACAGAGAGGGAGTACTTAATAGAGGGGGAGTACTCGTGCAGTCGTGCTTACCCTAATTGTTACTATCAAAATCATGTTTCTTATTAATGGAAGGGCAATAGTAAATTTTCTCAAAAAATTGTTAGCATCACCATCTATGAGCTTGAATGAAATTCTACTCCCATGCGTTTCACAAAACACTTCCGCCCAAATTTTTTAATGCATCTCCCAAAATACTTCTACCCAACGCAAAATATCTAAAGTACACTCTCATTTTGTCTTTTATTGCGAGCAGAAATTATTTTGAAGGTATTTTAGATTTTTAGGTGAAATATAAAGATTTTATGGGATGTGCAAAAAATAAAGCGAAATATCACTTTTTTGAACATGTGTATAGTAGAGCTTCCTTCCAAAGCACTAGTGTTTAAATAATTTGAGAGTGAAACGTGTGAATATATTTTAGGCTTGAAAAAATTTTGGGTTGAAATTAAAAGTTGTTTTAATTATAAAAATATGAGGAAATGATATGTAGTGTATGTAGGGGCCACGAAAAATTAATAATAAAAAAATGGGTAAGCATTTTCTGGAAAACATTGAGTTGTTGATGTTCTTATTAAATTTAAAACTCATATATGGGCATTTGAATTAAAAGCGATTTAAAATCCATAATTTTTTTATTTCCTCTACTAAAGTTAAATAAGCTTTAGTATCTGACAAATTTTATATTTTTATTCTTTCTATTTTCTCGGGTTCCTTTGATGATTGATTGCACAATTGTGAGTGTCATTATTGACTTATTGCAGTTACATAATAATAATAATAATAATAATAATAATAATAATAATAATAATAATAATAATAATAATAATAATAATAATTAAATATGGGATAACACAATTATTTCCTTTTATTGCATTTTTACTACCTCCAACACAATTCTCATATCCTAAATTGTGTCCTTATTCATATTATATCACCAATGAAGAACACGATTAATGGCATGATGAGAATTATGTGTGAGATAATTATAAATACAAGATTAGAATGTTGAATACAAAGTTAATGTGTTTAGTTAAAAAATTAGAAATGCTAACTACGTTTAAGGAGTATTTTCAAAATAAAATTTTTTGTAGGGATGACTTAGCGAATTTTTTTGTACAGGAACAAAAAAAATCACTAATTTTACAGGAATTAAAAGGATATTTAACCCTAATAATAATAATAATAATAATAATAATAATAATAATAATAATAATAATAATAATAATAATAATAAATCTCGTCGCTTCAGAATTGTTGGAGGAGGTCTTTAATTACCTGCAGTGCTTCCCTTGTTGATATATTGGGTTCAGGTGCTCCATAGTTGCATTTCTGATACCTCTCTAATGTTTTGAGCATGCTATATATAAGTTTTACAATAAATAAAATAAATTAGTACTCAAGGAACTCAAAATTGAAATTCTCTACAATAAAAAATGACACCTGACATTAATAAATTAAAGTAAGAAAAAGAGAGCAATGAAAGTTTTTTATTTTATTTTTAAATATATAAAATTCCTGAATAAAACACAGAACATAGTGATTTACCAAAAGAACCTGAAGACTATTCAAGTTACTGGGTAATATACTGCTTGATGTGGCCCAAAACAAAAAAGTGAAGAGCATCAGATTAGACATCATGACCTGACTTCTCAAGTAAATCATGATCTGGTGTGACCCAAGGACCATTTCAAGAACCCTAGTTTTGTATACTGGTTTAAAGCCTTCATCAACTGCCCAGTTATCAACAAATTAACAGCTAATTGAGCACTATAATTTTTTTAAAAAAATCTGGGGGAATCTCATTTTTCATCAGGTCTCAAATCAAATTCTTGAAAAATTAAAAAAAGAAATTGATTTGGCAGATTTCAAGAAATCTCTTGAAATACTAGCTCAGAGGTGGGCTAGGGGTAGTACCGGGAATATAATCCATGCTTGAAGGTTACATCTCATAAAGATGCAAACTTTATGGATGAACTAAAACACACAATTTCATGGAGAATACAATTTGGGTTCTGGACTAGCTAAAAAATTGAAATTCAAATCGAAACCCTAACCAAACAAATTAAAGAACCCTAAAATGGATTGAACATTTCTACAAAGAAACTATACAAGGAATCCAAATTAATGTGGATTAAAATTAAGATCTTTGCCTAAAGATCATATTTAAGATTGAAACTGAACTTTACAAATAGGAAGTACTTCTTTTACTAATAAAGAAACTGAAAAAAAATGTTGGGATTAATTGCAGTAGATCAAAGTCTCACACCATTTTTGCTGCAAAATAGATCAATTTAAACATACTAAAAAAATAAAATAAAAATCATATCATACGAAGTAGTTTTTTTATGTATTAAAAGAGTAGGAAGAGCAAAGAGGTGAAGACTTGGATCCAAGCAAGGATCGAAGAAAAATCAGAGATACGGTGCTATTTTAGCGGAAGTAGAAGTAAAAAGTAGAAGAGAGAGCTTAGCTCAATATATAAAAAAAATCAGTTTTTTTTTTAAAAAAATTATAAATATATCTTCTTTTCAAGGATTTCCTCTTGCAGATCTAACAACCCATTGAAGCGCAAAGTTCCACACACACAAAAACAATCACAAAAACGGCAAACATATTTACTCCACACCAAAAAAGAAATTAAAGGGAGCATATCACATCTCTTTATTTTTACAGATCTCAAGAAAATGAAAACCAAAAAAGATACCCCACGCACAAAAGAAAAGAAGAGAACACAATATATATCAAGAAATGGGCAAGTTTGTATTTCCAAAAAGATTAAATCTTTACACAGATTTTAGCCATTTGTATATATGTATATATATATATATATATGTATATGTGTGTATGTGTACCTAGAGCTACTGCAGAACTCATAGAGCTTTCCTCTGTTGGAGAAAATGATGAGAGCAACCTCAGCATCACAAAGAACAGAGAGCTCATATGCTTTTTTCAGAAGCCCATTCCTTCGCTTTGCAAAGGTTACCTGTCTATTGATCTTGTTTTCTATCCTCTTGAGTTCAACTCTACCCCTCCCCATATTCCCTTTATCTCTCTCGCTCTCTCTCTCTCTCTCTCTCTGTGTCTCTCTCTACAACTACCCTCTGAAACTCACGAAAGCAAACAATCCTTTTTTCCCTTTCCAAACGTTTCTTTGGATACCACTTCTTTTATATCTAGCTAAGATAAGATATACACATCCAATAGTAGATACCCTTCGTATGTGTATTTATACCCATTGTTTGACCTTTACATTCTAACTTTCGCAAATTTTCATCAATGGGCTTTCACTTGCCCAGTCATGCCCTTAAATTAGATGCATTGGGTACCCCTTATTTATTAGGTGCCTATGATTGCAACCAGTTTTTTTATTTCCCCGTGCCAGAAAATGTAATCCCTTCGTTCTCCTAGAGTTTTTTTCAGTTTTCATTTTTACATTTCTCCCAAAAATCATTTCCTATTGTCAATTAAAAAATAGAGACTCGTTGTCCATGTGGTTCCTTTCTCTATTTTTGAAGTAAAGATCGAACAAGGGGATCTCTCATCAAAAGGATGCTATGCGGTTGGCTTTTGCTACAACGGTGTACTACATTTGGAGGGCTAGGAAAACAATCTACTTCGATCACTCTTCAGTGTGTGTTACATCTAGTATTTCTAAGATCAAAGTTGTGATTTATAGAATCTTGTATAAGCTCTTTCCGGCATGATTGGTTGATTTTTAGTTTCGGCATGCGTGTCACTTTGGTCTTTGCTTCCGCGGTTTTGATTGTTGTAAACCGCTTGATGTTCGGCGATACCAGTCCTATTTGTATTCTTTTTTTTCTCTTGGTTACAATATTATTTACGAGGAGCTATAGGAATACACCATCACGTGGTGTTAAAGAAGGAAAAAATATATTTCCATATATTCTCGTATATTCTTGTTTATATTATTTTGTTAGTTTCCCATTGTATATTTTATTTATTTCCTTTCGTAATTAGTTTACATAAAGAGTTCCTAGCCTGTGGGACCTATATATATTCAGCATTTGTTCATATTTCTAACATCGTAAATACAAGAGAATTTCTCCCAATCAGAATTCTTTCATGGTATCAGAGCTTTCATGGTATCGGTGCTTTGTTATTTTTTCCTTGGTGCTGCTGCTATGGTCAACCGGCACAAAGTCCATCGATCGTCGCTGTTGATTTCCGGACTGCTGTTGTTGTTGCCGAAATGGTCGACCGCCAATATTGCTGAATGTTGCAGATTCGTCAAATAATGTTAGAAGAAACGAGCAAGAAGATAGCCTCGGGCAAGAAACCTGAGGAGTGAGAAGAAGATGATGTTGTGATGCGGCAACGTCGCATCTCGCCATATGATTTGTCTCCTAGTGACAATCCGGGTATGCTTTTGACCCAGGTTGTTTTGAAGGGGGATAATTACGACGAGTGTTCCAAATCTCTGCGCCTTGCTCTTCGAGCGCCCAAGAAATTTGGATTCGTTGATGGAACAATAAGAATTCCAGATCCTGATTCTGACGATTTGGATGATTGGTGGACGAATCATTCACTTTTGGTCTCTTGGATTCGAAACACTATCGATCCAACCTTGAGATCCGGCATATCGTTTGTTGAAAAGGCTTGTGACTCGTGGAATGATGTGAAGGCCCATTTCTCTGTGGTGAATGGACCTAGGGTCCATCAGTGAAAGTGGGAATTGGCAGAGTGCAAACAAAAGAATCTTTCCATAATGGAATATTATGGGGAGATGAAGAAAGTATGGGATGATCTAGCGGATTTCGAGCATCCTCCAGTATGTGTGTGTAAGAATTGCACATGTGACTTTCCGGCGATGATTGCGTAGATGCGCAAGATAGAACGTACACACAAGTTCTGGATGGGGTTGAATTATGCTTGGAATGCAACCATATGGTCAAATCTGCTGGCACAAAAACCTGTACGACCCATGGGAAAAATTTATAACATTCTGGTACAGGATGAGATGGAACGAAACTCCATGCACAATGGAGAAGGAAGTGATGTAGTTTTGTCTCCATTCGTGGTGAAGAATAAAACAGAGACAAGGGAGCTTGTGTGTTCTCCTTGTGGCAAGACAGGACATGACATTGGTGCTTTCTAGAAGCTGCACGGATATCCCGAGGGCTGGGTCTTCCAAGATAAGAATGGGCGAGGAAGAGGAAACAACCGTGGAAGAGGCCGCGGTCCAGGTCATAAAAAAGGACAGTCAACCGTCCAGCCTGAACGGTCGACCATTGGTGGAGGTCGAGGTGTAACGTATGTCGTACAGGGGGTGCAGAAGAACAAGGACTTTCTACGCTGCCCAGCTTTGATGATCTAACCTAGCAATAGTGGAATGTTATTCTTCACGCTCTCTCGCTGTCCCCAATAGACACAAACACAAAACTTTTAGGAACTACTGTATCACCATGTTGGATTATTGATACTGGTGCGTCCAATCACATGACAGGTGATCTTTTGTTATTATATGATGTGTTGGGTGTGTCACCAAGTGAAATTGGTTTGCCTGATGGAAAAAGGGTTGTGTCTATTCAATCTAGAAAGGTTGATTTAACAAAGACTATGACGTTACAGAATGTGTTATTTGTTCCAAATTGGAGTTGTCATTTGATTTCTGTGTCACAGTTGACAAGGGATTTGAACTGTGAGGCAAAATTCACCAATGATTTGTGTGTATTACAGGACTTAAGATTGAGGACAACAATTTGTGTGGGTAATCATGAATGTGGATTGTACTATTTAAAGAATGAGGACAGGAGCATGGCGCACAGTGCAAAGAAGGAGCACAATTTTTATTATTGGCACAAATGTCTAGGACATCCTTCTTCACATGTTTTGTCCTTAGTTCCTTTAGTTGGTTCAAAGTAGTCATAGTCATTGTGATCTGTGTTTGCATGCTAAACAAACTCGGGCTAGTTTTCCCATCAGTTTTCATCAATGAATTGAAAAATTTTATATGGTACATTGTGATTTGTGGGGACCCTATCGAATTCTGTGTTTGGATGGTTCTACGATGTCTTTGACTATTATGGATGATTACTCTCGTGGTGTAAGGCTTTATTTGCTTGATTCTAAGCGTATGGTAGGAAGAGTATTTAAACAATTATGTGCCATAGTGGAATGTCAATTTGGGAGAAAGGTAATTAAAGTGCGTTTGTAGCGATAATGGCACAGAATTTGAATGCTTGAATGAATACTTTCAAGAACGGGGAATTGTTCACAAGACATCTTGTGTGTCTACTCCACAACAGAATGGCAGAGTCAACCACAAGCATCTGCATATACTGAATGCGGGTCGAGCTTTGAGATTTCACGCAATCAAACTCTACGCAACGATACAATTTTTATATTTTTCTAAAATACTTTTTCTTGAATCATATTTTTTGGTGTTGACTTTAACATAGTCAAAATTGATTTAATTTACATATTATTAAAATTATTCTCCTATTCAATTGATATTATTCAATATAATGATTTCTTACAAAAGTTCACATTGTTAATCACTTCTTGATTTTATGCAAGTTACATATTTTAATATTTTAAAAATGTCATAACTCATAATCTGTTAATCAGATTTGTTCATAAAATATACCATTGGATTTGTCTCTTCGAGACTTATCCATAAAACTCAGTTTTAACAAAAGATCATTAACTTGAAAAGTTTCTCCATTTTTTGTCAATTACCAGAATAATGCTTTGTTGGATCAAAATATAATTTGAAAAATACTTTTATCATAAAATAACTTTTAGTCCATGTTTTAGGGCGTTATAGAGGTTCCACCCAACTGTCTCCGTAGGTACTGGGTAGATGAAAATCATGGCCTTATGTAGTGGTTTTGAGTTAGTAGACTTGGGTCATGGCCATAAGCAGTGGCTCTAAGTCCCAAGATACGATTGAGAAGATGGTGAGTTGGCCTTAGCCTAGGATATGTTATGAGCTTAGAATGTAAGAAGGTTTATAATTTGTGAATTGTTGATACTATTAATATCATTTGATGTTCTTATGTAATACTACTTGTGCATGGAATTAATCCTACGTGTGACTTCTACTATTAGAATCTTTCACTCAGCGTGAAAGCTGAGCATGTAATTTTTTTTACTTGCTACACGCAGGTAATATGAAAGACAAGTAAGGAAACAATCCTGGAGGATAGCGAGGGTAAGGAGATGGATGGGTGCTGGCTGAGGAGTTTGTTTAATTTAATATTACATTTGAATTTATTATGTTTCGGCCAAGAACTCAAAGTTGTGTTTTGAATTAAGTACATAAGCTTTGGCACCATTTTATATCACTCTGATGGATAATTAAAAATTGGTTTGAATTCAATTTTTTAAATTATTTTGAAAATTATTGTGTCGGACTGCCAATTAAGTGACAAGCCATTCCGCTAGTCCATGTATTCGGGTTTCGCGGGTTAGGGTGTTACAGAAAGACTTAAATAGAGTTTGACATTAGAAGCCATTCATAAGTAGATTAGTCAATACATTAAAAGATGTTCTATTGTGACTGATTGGTGTAATATTTTACGATGTTATAGCAACTTCGTGCATGGTGTGTTTGCTTGTTCGATCTGTTTCACATACACATATAAGTTTTAATCGGGTAATCTCACTCGGCCTCCATCTCGTCACACGGTAGGTTGGTACTGTATACTGGTACCATCCTGCAATCACATGCCAAAATAATATGCCAAATCCATGTATGGGTTGGAACTGAGATACCTGGTGGCGGTATTGTTGAATATAAGTGAGCCCTAGAGGCCAACTTATGATTCCATATCTATATTATATCAAGAACAATAGGCCCTAAAGATTGTTTGAGTCGTCTTGTGTGATTTAAACATAGCTTTAGTCCATAGAGTAGGCGTTCTAGTAACATAGATGAGAACTACGACGTTCTGATTATGAGGTTGCTATAAAGATAGAGGCTACGTCTAAAATATCCTTAGTCGAATGTTATGATAACACGGGCATCATAATATATCAAGACTAATACGTATGAGATGAGATAGCTGCCTCTCATAGGCTATAGATAAAGTGTTATCTAAATATATAAGTAGGCAAACATATTGGTTATTCTCATGCGACCATTAGTATAACTATCCTTCGACTTGAAGTCATTACGATCTTTGGTAAGTTGAGTTACATACTTTAAAGCATGATTTATGCCATTTGAAATATTGGTGGATGTACAATTATGTACTCCCCTAAACCCTATTCCTAATGAGAATGTTCCTTTTAGAGTTTAGAAAAAAAATCATATTTCATTCCTACTTGGCTTGATATTTTCGAAACACCCCTTTAAAGGAACCTTCCAATTTATTTTGTCAACTTTAATTATCATATAATTAACACAAAATAAATGATATAACATTTATTATATATATATATATATATATATATATATATATCCAAAATATAAATAAATAAATAAATTCATATATATATATATATGGCGAACATATATATACATATATACACACACATATATATATAAATATAATAATGTTATATTTTGTTCCTTAAATAATATTTGAAAAAATTAATTATCATATAATTAAAATGTCCAAATATATATATATATATATATATATATATATATATATATATATATATATATATATATATATATATATATATATATACTCTTGCACCTCAATAATAATAATAAAATTATAAACAATTTATTATTTATACATATATCCGAATATATATATATATATATATATATATATATATATATATATATATATATATATATATATATATATATATATATATATATATTTGTGTATCTAATCATATTGTCACACAATATAATATGCACAATATATAAAATGAAACTTTACTCCACTTAAATATTCTACACTTTTCATATGTTCTATGTGTGTGACCCTATTCTAGATACCTATAACATTGGTCATTGTATCGATTAAATACTACAAATGATAAGCGGTATCTAGCAACACATTATCACCCCCAAGTTATAGATATATAGCTCTTGGAACAATTCCATCAATCACACATCTCATTTGTATAACTTTTATCTCTTATCACAAATATCTTGATTTAACACAAGGTATGGGGTGTGTCACCTTGTTAGAATTAAATTGATGATTTATTAATTCTTAGATTGACTTGTGGGATTCAAATATAATATTTATTTGTGCATGGTCATGCGCTTCCCAAGTCACATCAATTAGTAGTCCCTAAGATATTATACTTCGTTAAAGAACAGATAAATTTTATCTACATCATTCACATCCCTACTTAAGTTTCATTGCATACCCAAAACATAACTGTATATCCACCAATATGTCTAGTGGCATATATCATGCTTTAAAGTATGCAACTCAACTTATCAGAGATCGTAATGACTTCAAGTTGAAGGATAGTTATACTAATGGTCGCATGAGGATAAAATTAACACTTTAACTTACACCCATATATTATTCTCATAGCGGGTCAATCCAGCAACATATCCAATATGTTTGCCTACGTATAGACTCAGATAACACTTTATCAATAGGCCATGAGACGCAGCTATCTCATCTCATACGTATTAGTCTTGTTATATTATGATGTTCGTATTATCACAATAATTGACTAAGGATATTTTAGACGTAGCATCCATCCTTGTAACAACCCCATCATCAGAATGTCGTAGTTCTCATCTATGTTACTAGAGCGCCTACTCTATGGACTAAAGTTATGTTTAAATCACACGAGACGACTTTAAACAATCTTTAGGGACTTTTATTCTTGATATCATAGATATGGAATCATAAGTTGGCCTCTAGGGCTCACTTATATCGAACACCTTGTACCTCATGCCTTAAGCTGCGATCCAGATGTCGAATCTAATAGTGAACATACTTTCTCATTTCTTTCATTAGATGCTATTCTCACATGAACCAAATTATATATATGTGTGTGTGTGTGTGTGTGTATGTGTATGTATGTATGTATGTATGTATGTATGAATGAATGTATGTAGCATAGTGGAATAAATATAGAAAAACTAATACTCGCTCTGTTAAAACAACTTACACTTTGACTTGACACAAAATGTAAGAAAAATAAACATGTGTTGTTGAAAGTGATGTAGATAAGAAAGAAAGATTGTGAGTCATTCACAATTTTCCATAAGGCCCTGTTTGGTACATGGAATTGGAACTATGAAATTAGAATTGAAGACTTCAATTTTAATTCTTGTTTTTGGTAGCATAAAAATTATGTAGGTATGGAATTGATAGTGCAAAAAATGAATTGGAATGAGTGAATTCAATTCTATAAAATTGAATCCCATGGAATTTCAATTCTAATTTAATTGTAATTGCATCAATTTCGTATACAAAACGGACCTTAAAAGAAAAGATGAAACATATTTTGGGACGTTGTAAAAAGGAAATAAGAATTTTTTTTGAATGGAAGAGTATTACCAAGAATGTCTTTTAAAATTTGATTCTATTTAAAGAAGGTCTAAGAGCATACATATTCAAAAAGCCGTTTCTGATTAAAAAATCAATATGTCGTTTGTTGTTTCTTACTATTACCTTTTCATTATCAGAATAGTGTATTATATTAATGTGCAATAAGTAAGTAAAGAATAATTATTAGAGTGGCGCAGCGGAAGCATGGTGGGCCCATAACCCACAGGTCCCTAGATAGAAACTAGGCTTTGATAAATTTATTTTGTATTTTTACTTTTAGTACTTTGTGCCTACTATAAAGTTCATTTTGAAGAAATCAACTAAAGTAGTGGCAAAACACAGTCCTTATCTCTCAAAGTAGGACTATTACCATGTGATAATGTGTACGAATATTAGTAATTCGAGCTGGCAAAACATTCGATAAGGTCAAGTTCGGGTTTGATCACCTTGGGTTCGGATAAGTTTGGGTTCGGGTTGAGTGCTACATGGTCATGACCCAATGTCATCGGGTTCGTGTCGACCCAACGGGTTATGACTTTCATTTATTTTTTTAAAATTTTAAGTAATTTTTATGACTGATTGTCAATATTACGAATAAAAAACTTAATATGCAGCAAATTTTTTAAAAAAGTAAGATAATTATGCAATAAATTTATTTTGTGTTTTTACTTTTTAGTACTTTGTGCCTACTATAAAGCTCATTTTGAAGAAATCAACTAAAGTAGTGGCAAAACATAGTCCTTATCTCTCAAAATAGGACTATTACCATGTGGTTAGTAATTAGAGCTGGTAAAACGGTGGATCAGGTCGGGTTCGGGTTCGATCACCTTGGGTTCAGGTTACTTTGGGTTCGGGAAAGTTCGGATTCGGGTTGAGAGCTACATGTAAATGACTCAATGTCATCGGGTTCGGGTCGACCCAGCGGGTTATGACTTTCATCTTTTTTTTGAAATTTTAAGTAATTTTTATGACCGATTATCGATATTATGAATAAAAAACTTAATATGCAGAAAATTTTGAAAAAAGTAAGATAATTATGCGATATCATTAAAGTTTTGTATGAAAATATAAATTTATACATTAAAAATGAGTAGAAAGTAAACAAATATAATTAAAATCTTATTCTTATAACATTGTATTACATATTAAAGCATATGATTTTGAATAATTCTCACATTAGCGGGTCGGTCAGGTCGGGTTCGGGTTTGGTCGGGTTTGATCCATTTTAAAGGGTAATTTCGGGTTCGGTTAGCAAAACCTTTGTTCAAAACCCAATATTTTCGGGTCGAGTTTCGGGTCAAAAACAGGTCGGGCCATTTTTTGTCAGGTCTATTAGTAATGCATAGTGTTGTTTTGTATTAAATGTTGGGGAAATTAACGATAACGATAACACCATGCATGATGATATCAGTGGATGATCATTTAACCAAAGGGTTAAGTAGAAACCTTGTGTGATATCAGTGGAGTTTGTAAGGACTCAACAAATTTTGGCTGATCATTTAACCAAAGGGTTAAGTAGAAACCTTGTGCAGAGATTGGCTATAGGGATTGGATTGAAGTCTATCTAAATTTCTCATGGTAAGAATCCCAATTCCCATCTAATAAGACATTAGATGCTGGAAAATCTTAACATCTAGAAAATGGAACACATCAAGTATATTATCCCAAAGTAAGTGTTCAGAACTCTAAGATTAGGAGGATGAAGTATGTCTTCTTAATAGTTCCTTTGAAAAGTTGCATATGCAGGTGCAAGAATAAAGAGGACTACCTATATGAGCATGAAGTTTAGCCGCTTCAAGAAGTAGAGACTTCGCTTCGATATGCTTATGAAGGATTAGGACACAGGGCTAGTAAATAATAGTGTCAAGTTAGAACATTAAAGTATGTAAACTTTTGTGTATATTATCTTCATGTATTCAAAATGAATAGCAAGGGTTCAATCTTTAGTGATACCCTGATATTCGAATATTTGAAATGTGTAATGTACTAAGATGAAATTCAATCGTCACGATATTTCATTTATGCATAAGTTTGTTGTTTGCTGTGAATTTGTTTAGTTAATCAAGGATTACACTAAAATAGGGGAGGAATGTTATATATTTTAGTGTAATTGGAAAAACTACGACCAATAGTATCCTAATAATCATCAAAGAAGTTTGGTGGTGCGGAGTGCATACTTCATTGAGTTTGTTACGATAAAAAATCCCGTTACACCGGGGGTTCCAAGGGGGCAGCGCCCCCTTGACGGGAGTTCGGGGGCAGCGCCCCCGAGCAGGGTTCAAGGGGCAGCAGCCCCTGCGGGGTCCAAGGGGCAGAGCCGTGAATAGATAAGAGAAAACCCTCCGATTGGATAGCACCGAATTTGAAGAACTTCCGCGCGAAGGATCGCGTAACTTGGGAAAGAGACGCGATAGACATCTTTTCCCTCTGCCACAAATTTATAAATTCCTGCAGGCCATGGTCGAATTTTGTTCGGATTTTTTATAGCAATTCTCATATTTCGTTCTTGATACTTTCGAGTTTTATCCGATTGAATTTTGGAGTGAACAACCAAAATATTCAATCTTAAAGTGTTTACACAACTCTCGATTCATCCAACTTATCGTCAATTTCCCCAACATTATATATGTTGGGATTATTGCATTAAATATTGGTAATAAAAATATGATGGCCTCATTTTCATTTTTTCCTATGTTTATCTTATTTAATTTTTTTAATTTTAATAACAAAATACTACCTCCGTGTCTGATTATTTGCCCATTTTCAATTTTGTGAATCAATAAGATAAGTTTTTATCATCCATTAAACAAATGTATTGCGCGCATATTAGTACAAAATATTTTACTCCTTCCATCTGGATGTAATATTTTCCATTTCATTTTTTTTGTCAAAGTTTGTAAACTTTGACCTCCATATGCAAAATAACCAATTACATTGTGCATGTTTCAATATAAATGTAATATCAATAGTTTTTTATGAAACATAGTTTTGAAATGTTAATTTCCATCATCTCCGATGGAGCCAAAATTTCACCATTTTTTGGCTTTGGAGTGTGATGGAATAAATCAAAATGGATCTCTAAACTATCTGCGATTCTTTAATTAATGAAGTAGCAGTTAGTCAAGCAATGCAACTTTCGACGTTGAGCCGGGGGTCTCTTTGGAAACAGCCTCTCTACTTTCAAGTAGGGGCAAGGTCTGCGTACACACACCCTCCCCAGACCCTACTCTTGTGGGATTTAACTGGGTTGTTGCTGTTGTTGTAGTTTTGAAATGTTAAAAATTTGTTAAAATATGTCTGTATAAATATTGATATTAATGATCAAAGTATTACTTAATTAAATTAGAGACCGTGAAATGTCAAATGAGATTGCTAAATCCAAACAAAGAGAGTATTAGATTTATCTTGTGAAAAACCTTAAGACAATATTTGGATCGTGAAATTCCAAGAATAAAAAAGAGGTTCTCTTTTTTCCTCACCAAGACATAAGAAAAATCAATTTCTTCTTTTGAGAGCACTTTCTTCTATCAATTTGTTTTCCTTCTATCATATATTCTCTTTTCCTCTCTAACCAAAGAAGAAAAGTTGTTTTCTTTTTTTTTTCTTTTCTCCCTTAAATAGGTCAACCAGGAAATACTCTAGAACGGGAAATAGTAGTTTGATTTTTTTTTTCACTATGTTTGGTTTAAGAAATTAGAAAGGAAAAAACAAAATGAGATGTTAAATAATTTTTCTTGTTTGGCTAGAGAAGAAAAGAAAAATAGAAAAACGAAAAGAAGAAGACAAACCATACTAAAGTTTTGTTCTTTTGGATTAGAAAAATTAATTCCTAACTTTTTCAAATTCCTTCCAATTTCTTCTAGTTTCTACCAACGACTTTAAAAAGACCATTGAGATATGTTGATATATAATAACGTTATATATTTAAATTTATAGCATACAATTCAAACATAGACAATGATGAAATCTTTTTTATCTAAAATTAGAGCTTTCTTACATATGTTTTCGAGTGATCATCTAATTAAGTGACTTTTTAACACTTTAATTCTTTCAATATTTTCTAACTCTTTCCAATTTTTTCCAACTTCTTCCAGATTCTTCTAAGTCCTTCCAGTTTCTTTTAACATGTAATTTTAAAATTCCAACCCAAAAGAACAATCCTTAAGAGGAAGGAAAACACGTAAAATCTCTCAATTTTGGTAATGAAAGTGGAAATAAAATATATTTTTTCTTTTTCATTCTAAAATTTTTCAACCAATAATTTAAAGAAATTTGAAACCTTTTTTTGGAACCTTTATTATTACGGACCATGTGCTACGCAGGTCCAATTGTCTTTAGGCCACCAGTGTGTAGACATATTTTATCAAGGAAATTCTAAATTATTGGTTTTATGTTGTATTTTTTGTTACCCATTTATTACCAAGCACTATGGTCTCACCATTGTTTCAAATGAATCCGGAGACTATATACTCCCTCCGTCCCTAAATAAACTTCCCCTTTCGTTTTCTCTTTGTCTCCAAACAAATTTCTCTTTTTCCTTAAAAAACTCTTTTTACCCCTTACTTTTTCATACCCTACTTATCACATCATACCTTTTTACTTAATCTACATATCACATCTTACTTTTACACATCACATCAAGAATATTTTTGGAAAGTCAACACAAAAATATCTCTCCCTTAAATCATCAAAAAGTCAAAAAGAAAAATTTATTTAGGGACGGAGGAAGTATATGAAAACAAGTTGAATAGCCCCGCGGAACACCAAAGCAGTTGGTGAGTGTTATTGGTGACTTATAAGGTTGGGGTTGAAATTCTAGAGACTAGTCTATAGATTTCGTCCTTTCTGATAAGATTAACTGTGATAAACATTTTATTGTACTTGTCTAGTGGAGACAAATCCCACAATTTACCTCCTCCACCAACCCAAAGTTGGTTGTTGGGATGTGAGAGCGCTTGAGGTGGGGTTCCACCTTTTTAGGAAAACCTATTGAATAGGATTTCGAACAATTTTGATATTGTATTGAGCAAGTGTCATGATTTTTTAAAAGATCTAAATCTTATCTGACCAAAACCCAATCAAATAAGTTGGCCCGGATCTCTGTAAGTTTGGCCTTCAGTCCAATCTTTTCTTATAGTCTATGTTTGCTTTGAGAAATAACAGAATTGAAAAGAATTAAAAGAGAAAATTGTGTAGAATTTATAGTTTTGTCTTGTTTGGTTGAGAACATAAAATGGAGAAAAGAGAAAAGAGAAATAGATTGTAGCACAAAAACTTTTCTCTCCACCAATGGAGAGAAAATGATAAAAGAACAAAACCATTATTCCCTTGACAATAATAAATGTGTGCCTGAATTATACCCCCAGATACTATTTTATTTTAAGGACATAAAAGTAATTTTTCTTTATTATCTTTTTTTCTCTTCACTTTTCTTTTTAACCAAACACACAAAGGTAAATGTTACATTTTCTTTTTCTTCATTTTCCATTCATCCCAATTGATGGGAAATAATACGTGACTCGGCCCACATTTCCCAATTATTTACAAAGAATAATCAACCGGGGCCAGTTTATTAAAATAAAGAAATAAAAGAATATTCCTTCGAAGATGCTCCTCTTCCTCCCTATAAAAGAAGGGGTTGCCCTCAAAGTTAAGTGGACCAATTTTTACTCTCCCCTGCCAACCTCTCTCTCTCTCTAGAATATTTTTGTAGTTTACTTCTTCAAAAGCTCAAATGCTCCATTAATGGTTTCTACGCCTAAATTATGTACCATGTACAACCCTCGATATTAATAAAAATCCCCCGTTGGCAAGGTACCGCCAAAAAAGGCCCGTGATTTTCTCCCGATTTGGTTTTCCACGTCAAAATCCCGTGTTTATATTTTGATGTATTTTTTAGACTAGTTTATCATTTTTGCCCGGCTAAAAATGATATACTGGTCGATAATTTACACCATCACCAACAATACATTTTCTTTCTCTTCCTTTGATAGACAATAATAAAAATAACAATAATCCCTCCATCCTAATTTAAATTAAATATTTACGATTCACAAGGTCAAACTTTATTTATTTTTTTCTATTTTTTCATTAATTTCCAACTTTACACTTATCACTAATTCCTATCCCTCATTTAGTGCCCTCACATCACCACATTTACTACCCCACCCAATTTACACTCCCCCCACATTTATCGTTGTTGTTTCGTAAATCTTAGATCTAGACGGGATTCGAATCCGGTTCACTCTCCATTTATGAATTTGAATACTTAATCCCTGAAACTGAGTTTGATGAAGAGATCAGCTTTGATGATGATGGTTTGACCGTCTTCAATCCAGGGTTCCAAGTTGTGCCGAACAGCTTCTAACGGCCTCCGATCTAATCACTCTGCCTCAGGGGACTGGGTGGAGCCTGTGAGTGACAGCTGCCGGGGACGGAAGCATCTTTAAGGCTTTGGTGATGATCAATTTTGTGAAGATCCGAAGGCTTGATGCGGTGCTTAATGGCCAGATTGATGTTCATGGATTGTCAAGGCCCTTTCCGCACATCGATTGACATCCGATGGCCTAGTGCACGAACACCACTCCATTGTTTTTCTTTTTTTTTTTTACATTAAGGGCATTAAAGACATTTGATAACTTTCAACCTCCCTCCTTGGTATTTGTGCCACTTTGAAAGTGGAAAAATAAAGAGGGACAGAGGAAGTAGTTTTTAAATATGTAATTTTTATTTTAAAATTTTACACCATTTTTTGAATACAATAATTTGAAAATAACTTCAATCAAACATCATAAATCGAAACAAGTGATTTAAATTAGGACGGAGGGAGTAATAAAAAATCACCCCTGATAGGACTAAAACATAGCATATATTTTCAAAATAGGAGTGCTATGTTTTTATGCTCGAAATAGGATTAAAAATGTTTTTCTTAAAACAATTCACCATGCACGGGCTTCAATGATTGAATTGAAAAAAACTCATGCGCACCATTCCTCTTCCTCCGTCGATCGATTCCCTTCCACCGCCCCTTCGATCCATAGCTATCGCCGCCTCGTGCATTACCATCGTCGTTGCTGTCTGCACCCTCTCCAGTCTCCACTTCGTTGTGCTAACACCACCATCATCTTTAAAGATTAGGATTAATTTGTTGTGCCACCACACAGATCTACGTCTTACTCTCTCAAATCCTTGATGTCAAATTTCAAAAGTGATTGAGTTCTCTTTTGATCTTTAATTGAATTTTATTTACCTTGAACTTTGTTTGGATGCTTTGGGATGGTGATTCGTTGTCGTGAAAACGGTGGACTAGCACTTTTAAAAAATCTTGTTTTTTTGCTAAACTGAATGATAATTTAACATCTTGTTCCTGATTAATTAACAATACATTTACATGTTTCTTGTTCGTGATATAACAATACTAATTCTAATAAGTCTTGTGTCTCTGGTTATTGGGATGATGTTTTAGTGTTTCAGTGGGGTTATATTTGGTCGGGACTATGGTATGGAATCTATTTTTTAACTAGAGAATATATTTTGGACTAAGTTTTATTTCAGTGAATCGAGTTCATCCTTTGGTCTTGAACATAGGCAGACCAGCAACTTCACTTTGGATATTTGCAAGCTAAATTTGCATTGATCAGCAGCTGAGAAATAGGTGATGGTCACTGATCGTGTTGGTGGACAGTGGTATGGTTGGGTTTGGCATTATGCTTTTATGTGGCTTTTAATTTAGATTTGCAAGTGCAGCATTGTACATTATAATTACAATCTGTGGCATTATACATGAGGATTTGTTGCAATGTACATGGGGATATGTGGCATTGTATATGGGAATCTCTGGAATTGTACATAGGGATCTTGGTATTGTACATGGGGATATGTTGCATTGTACATGAGAATCTTTGTTCTTTTGACATTGTATTTGTTGTTAACGTGGCACTACGAAAAATGATGGTGTAGAGTGTGATGGTGTTGTTGGCAACAATGGTTGAGAGCATTGTTATCGTCGATCATAGTGAAAAATCAACAACAACAATGGTGGATTTCGGTAGCAGTGGAACATCATCGTGGTGGGGGCGGAGTAGACTAATGGCGGAGATTGAAGTGACATTAGCATGCGAGCAAAGATTCAATACCCCTAGCCAGGGGCGGACCCAGGATTTTTTACCATGGGGTCGATCATATATTTAAAAATGTGAGGTTGTATTCCACTTGTTGGGTCATAAGTAAAATAAGATTCATATTAGAAAATATTCTCAAAAATAATTTTATGGCATTAACATGTAATATAATTTTCTTAAACTGGCGTTCAGAGTTTACTATAAATTTTTAAATGAGATGGATGAATCATTAAAAAACGAAAGATGTGTCATAAGAATTTATTTTGGAATAATGAGAAATAATATCAACTACATATATTTTTTCTATAAATAAGTGTAAAGTATATAATTTTTTCGATATAGAAGAGAATAGACAAATAACAAACAGATATATTGATTTATAGTTTAATACGAAAGGAGATAACAAATTTTTTTAATTGAAGTACTTAAGAAAATCGAAATAATCCATAAATATAAGTTTTAAGTAGATTTTCAAATGACCTGGATAAAATATTAAAAAGTTAAAGTTATATTTATTAGAAAAAAAGATAATTAATATCACTCATATATTTTTTCAAAAAATGAGTAACTTTTTAAATTTATAAGTTTATTTCAACATAAAAGCAATAAAACAATAAAACAAAGAGGTCCAAAGTACAAAAAAACTAGTCACAAAAAATCATCTCAGGCTCATCTCAAGGGCTGGGAATCAAACTGGACACCTAGTGTTGAGCCTTACAGCGTCAACCATGAGGCTATTCAACCACATTGATTGTCTTTCAATTTCAGTAGTATATATACATATGAACGATACAAATGGAGGATATTACTATAAAAATACGTGGAGGTCCGTGGGGTCACGTGACCCCGTGCTACCCTATGTGGGTCCGCCCCTGCCCCAAGCTATTAACTTTCCCAAGGCAACAAGCGTTCTCTCCCATTGTAACACCATCCCCACTACTCAAGTCCATCCAAATTCCTCATACTCATCATTGGGGTGGTCTCTTCCATCATCTCATTATTGGCTATGAGGATTTGCATCGCATTGGTCTACCGGTGGTGCACGCAAAAAGTGGAGACCACCGCTAATCTAGGTTGCACTGGGACGGGTGCGGGTACATATAAGGAGACGGGGACGGATTCGGGAATCGGCATTTTTAAAAATTTAAGGATGCGGGGACGGCAAGGATTCGGCAACAAAAGATAATTAAAATATTAAATATAGGCATGTAAATGTTAAAAATACTAATATTTTACTTAATTAAACAATGCTCCAAACTCTAGTCAACCCAAATAATGTGAAAAAAAAGAAAGAAAAAAGAAGCAGCGAAGGAGTCGGCGGAATTAAAGTTTGGTAAAAAAGAAGGGGTAGGGTTGCTCTGCCTCTGGATCCGTAAAAAAAAGGGAATTAAAGAGTCGCAGCTGTAGAAGCAATCGGCGGCAGCATAGTTGCCGCAGCTGCAAGGCAGTAGAAGCAATCAGAAGCTGGATTGGTTCCTTTGGAAGAAGCAATCGGCGGCCGGGCAGTAGAGTAGAAGTCTGCGGATCCAGGTGCGTTTCCGGTACGCCAACTGCCGTCCCCGCCGGTGAATCCGCGCCCGCGACGATTCTGGTGCGGGAGGCGGCAGTGAAGACCCGATTCCGTGCAACCTAGCCGCTAATGAATTCCAGGATAAGAGCCTTAATGTAGATCAATCAAAGGAATTGCGCTAAAACCTCACTCCTCTCATCAGGCTCAAGTATTCTCAAGAGTGGGACCCAATGACCCCAGACGCGACTGCTAAGTTCAACATTGAAAAGGTCGAGCCAGCAATGCATCATTTCTTTCATGCGAATTTGCTAGAAAGAAGCAACTTCTCGGGAGCCTATAGAGGAATTCTCAAGGATGGGGGAGTGGTCGCGATTAAGAGCATAAATCTCATTGCTTGCAAGTGCGATAGGCATGGTTGATTAAGAGCATAAACCTCACGCCTGGCATGGGGTGCTGGCGTTAACGTAATATTTGGTCAACAGGCATGCTTGATTTTTTTGTCTATTACTTATTGCCGATCAAGTTAACTGCATGGGGCATAATTTAGTTTTATAAAATCTTAATTAATTTTTGTCCTATTTTGGGGTTTAAAACATCGGAGTCCTATTTTTGTTCTTTTTCCATGTTTAACTCCTACTTAGGTATTTTTACCACAGTAGTTTTTATATTTTAGTCATTTTCTATTATTGATTCTTATATTTAGTTGGGCTATAATCCCCTCTATATATACTCTGTCATATATTTCATTATTTCTTCAATAATATAATTATTTCATTATTCAATTTCTTTTTTCCATTTTTCTTCTATCATCCAAATATAACATTATTCAATTCAATTTGGTCTAATTCAAGTTCATTGGCGTGAGTGAATAATATTTTTATTTTGACAACCGGTTTCAGTTCATTTACACTTCCAATGTTTAGGAGAATTAATGCGTGTCCACCCTATCATTTATACTTTATTTAATTTTAGTGTAAATTTTCAAAATGGTCATTTGTAATAAAATATTTTTCCAAATCAGTCCTCAATAAGTTCTAATTATATATGTAGTCCTTTATAATTGAGATTTATTTCTTGGGTAGTCCTTCGTAAATAATGTTACTCAAACGATGATTAATTAAAGGTTATTTGGTATTTGTATCATATAAATTTAAAGTATATTCTCTAAATGGTTATTTCTATACAATTAAATGTAAAATTAAAACAATACATTAACTATACATAGACCATGAAATATTAAAAATCTATAAAAAAAATCTTTTAAAGTTCAAATAAAATACACATCTGTAATTAGAAAAAACCTTTTTAAGAAACCACTTCATTAGAAATGACCATTTTAAGAACTTATTCTAAATTGAGCTGATTAAAAATACCAAAATACTCCCTAATTAATCATCATTTGGGTAACATTATTAACGAAGGTTTACGTGAGGAATAAATCTCAATTATAGAGGACCACGTAGATAATTAAAATTTATTACGTACTTATTTGGGGAAACACCCTTTTAGAGTGGATCGTTTTGGAAATTTATTCTTAGTTTTACTATTCATTTGATTAAAGGATAGTATTTTCACCACTTATTTTGTATAATCTTTTATGTAGTTTTAAAATATATAACGTTAGCGGGTATTTGTAAATAGACCGTAGATTAGTGTTTTGGTCCTGTGTTGTTTAGTCCATTTATGTACTTGTACATACATCGGTTTGTGATTAAAGAAAAGGCAGAAGAGTTTCCGCTAAAATTCTACATGGTATGAGAGCCAAATCCATATGCTCGTACGTGTTTCTGCTCTCTGGCGTTCAACCGACTATTTGTTTTTCTTTCGATCGGCAATTGCAGTCGATCATTGTGGTTTTTCTCAATCACCAAAGCCGCTGACTGGTTGTTCCCGTCACAACCAGAAATTTAGGCTTCTTTTTTAAATTTCAGCCGCAAAGGCTTTCAGTAGCAATCAAGTTGTGCTCTATTCGTGTTCCTCAAATCTTCAATTGGAATTGGGCCCACAAAGTGCCTTCTTCTTCAAAAGGCCATATAACACTTATTACGCACTACCTCAATTTTATTTCTTTGAAAAAAATTGCAAGGTATGTCTTCCATGGTGCTTTGTGAGTGGCTTGTTAATAGTAAAGCTTCTTATCACATGACAGGGATGTTATATTATCTATCTAATATTGTTTCCATGCCTCCCTGTATGATAAGTTTGCCTGATGGGGCTCACGTTGTTGCAAATTCATGTGGCCGCGTGCAAGTGTCTCCATCGTTAACCATGCGTAATGTTTTATATGTGTCAAATTTGAAGTGTAATTTGATGTCTGTGAGTTGTCTTATTAACTCTCATAATTGTCATATTTTGTTTGATGACAAATTTTGTGTAATACAGGACCGAACTACGAAGAAGTGGATTGGACAAAAGTGATGATTATTCTCGGACTGCTTGGATTTTTCTCATTATTGACAAAAGTGAAGTCACAAGCTGTTTGAAACAATTTTTAGCTTGATTTCTACCGAGCATAGTAAATTCATTAAAGTTTTATGTTCTGATAATGGCACTAAATTTCTAAATAAGCCTTTGCATCAATTTTACAATACTATTGGGGTTCTAGTTCAAACATCTTGTGTTAATACTCCACAGCAAAATGGTCAAGTTGAGCGCAAACATCATCATATTCTTAATGTTGCTCATTCTCTTATGTTCCACGCTTCTCTTCCTCTTGAATTTGGGGGGGGGGGGNATCTTATCAATCGCACCCCAACTCCACTCTTGGAGGGTAGGTCTCCTTATGAACTCCTTTCTTCAAAGCCTCCAAACCATCTTTTTGTGTTTGGGTGTATATGTTTTGTTCGCCATGTGCAATTACCACCAAATATATTCTACCCACGTAGTGTTAAATATATATTTTTGGGATATCCTACGGGGATAAAAGGTTGGCGGGTACAAGATCTTGAATCTCATCGTTTTTTTTACACAAGACATATTTCATTTTATGAATCCATTTTTCCCTTTGTTGTTTCCAAAAAATCCACTTTATTACCAGAACCTCCTCGCCAAAATGTTGATGGCGATTTTCCCCACATACCCACTGCCGTTGAGCCCACCCGCGTCCCCACTGAAACCCCCACCGACCAACTACATATTACCGAACTTTGGGAAACCCATTGTCCAACCTGCCAACGATGATATGACTGCTTTCCCGGACAGTCCTTCGTTGCCACCTCCACCTCCCCCGCCCCTATACCACTGGTCCATGCTCGACGTCTTCCACCCTACCTTTCTGATTATTACTGTCATACAGCCCGGACAATTACTCCTTTTTCTCCTATAATTGCTTCTTCATATTCTTCAAGTGCTTGGTATCCTTAGATATTTGGCTGATGTTTCCTCTCATGAAGTCCCTAAAACTTTTAAGG